ATGGCAGGGGGTTGGGGACAGGGAGACCTGGAGTACTGGTTGGAGGGGCCCCCCAGATGGGGACCACTCCCCCAAAAAACCCTCCATTGGGAGGTAACAGGCAGGACCCCAGGAGTTTGGATTCCTCCCCGGCCAAAAAAGGTGGTTGAAAAAGGACAAGCTGTCTGAGAGAAAGGCCGGGGAGGTCGATATTCCCATTCCCAAGGGTGTGACTCTTCCTTGGCCAAAACTCCCAAACCGTTAAACAGCACAAATTCTTCCTGGACCCTTGGGGACGGCCAGGATTAATAAACTACAGCAATCTAGCTCTTCTACCCACACCCCAAAATGGAGACAGGGCTCCCTCAGCTCCCCAAGGGCAGCCTGAGAAATAAATAAGGAAAGTTCCTTCTCAAGCCAGACCCCGACTGTCTCATCTTGGGGAAAAAATGTGGAGATGGGGGAGATGCCCTTGCCAACCGCCCCCCCGCCCCAAAGAGGGCCAGGCTCCTCCCGGTGGCCTTCAAAAAATAAATAAATAAACCGTCCCCACCACTGCAGTAGGAGACGTGTAAGAGCGGCCACTGGGGGACTGACCAAGAAGGGATAAGTTGTATGTTTTCTGTGGAAGGGTTAGTGAGAGATCCTCTTTCCTAAGAATCCCCACCCAACCACGACCACAGCACGAGTCTGTCAGCTGAACTGTGTTTCTCCTTGAGATGGCTGGCTGGAGAGAAGTTCAGGGCATGGATGGAGTGACCCCAGAAAGGGGTGGGGGTGGTGGTGGTGATAGTCATGGCTTCTGGGGCCCTGGGGAGAGCACCACGGCGGTTGAGAGGCCATCCACGCTGATGGAAGGGATGTGCACCTGGGCGCTGCCACTGGACGGAAACTGGAAGGAGAGCTTGGCCGGGCTACGTACGGGGTGCAGTGGGGCTCAGGGTGCTCCAGAAGTGAATACTGGGGGGCAGAGAGCTGGGCGTCAGCAGCACCGGGGTCAATGTGTGCGTAGGTAGCAGGGAAGCCCACCGGCACCGCAGTTTCCATAACGACCGCAGGCAGCCGGGCTGGCACGCCCTGCGCGGGAGGGGCTTCTGGCTCGGCCTTGGGCTCAAAGGGCTCGGCCTTGACGGCTTCCAGGACAAACCCGCCTCCCCAGTGGCTGCGGCTTCTAACTCTTCCTTGGGCTCTTCCACTTGGACTTCTGGGGGCAGTGGCCGGCCCAACCCAGGCTCCATACTTGGCTCTTTGGATTTAAGGTTCGGGGCCTCGGGTGGGGTCAGGATGACCTGCAGAGGCAGGCCGGCCTCCTCAGCCTCCAGGCAGGCCTCCAAGGGGTTTGGGGGGCACTGCTGCCCCTGCAGGGGCGGTGTTGGGGAGCACTGTGGAAGGCCGAGGATGAGAGGGCGGCTGTGGCTGCGACTGCAGGGGCTGGATGGGGAAGGTGGAATAGAGGCCCGAGCGCATGTAATCGTTCCGGCTGCTGCACGCCAAGCCGCCTGGGCCTGCCACTCCTGCACCCCTGGGTGTGCCTGGCTTCCCAGAGGCAGTGTCCCCGGGGACGGCGTGTACAGCTGTGGTGCCCGCATCTGCCACAGTGGAGGTGGCAGCCACCTCAGGTTGGGGCGGGCAGTCCTCAGTGGAGCACCCCACGACCTCGGGGTAGGACACAAACTTGTAGACGAACTTCTGGCCACTCACTTTGCGGGTGATGTTCTTATCACAGTAGTACCGCACGGCCCGGCTGGGCTTGTCACAATTCACGTTGGTCTTATTCTTGCGCAGCCCCCAGAGCCGGGCCACCCCCTCCGCATCCACCAGCTTGAACTCACCGCCATCCCGGGAGGTCCAGGAGATGATGTGGCCATTGCCTCGCTCTCTGAACAGCTGCAACAGAAACTGCCACAGGTCACACAAGGGTCCATTGCTGGGCGAGCGCTTACGCCATCCCAGGGGTACCTGTGTGTAGCGCAGCAGCGGCGTTGGCAGCTCGGGGGGGCGGGGGCCCCGTGCACGGCCCCACCGCCCCCCAGGCCCGGGCTCCGAGGTGGCGGTGGCGGCCCAGGAAGCTTTCATTTTGCCACAGTTGTGGAGGAAAGAGTTTTCATGGCACTAGCTAAGGACAGTGAGGCAGCTCTAATTCAGGGCACCACGGAGACTGGTGTAGGGACCAGCACCACGGGGCCTGCAGGGGGGAAGGGGGACTGGCTCAGCTCCGAATACAACAGGGACAAGTGGGGATCACGGCCAAGGAGCAGGGTGTGTGTCTGGAGTGGCGGTGGACTGGACATGACTGGGAGCAAACATCAAGGCCAGGGGCATCCTGAACGGGATGGACTCAGCCGGATTCTTGCTGAAGGCAAGCTCAGGTGATCACACAGCGAGGTGGGGCGGGAGGAATTTGATCAGATATCCAGGGTTGTGGGGGGGGTTGTTGCTAAAGTTAAACTGACCACGCAGGGACAGACCCAAGGTCAGGCCTTGAGGATGGAGAGAAGCCCGGCTAGCGCTGGGTCAGGGAGAGAGACCCCGCTGGATTCAGAAATCCAGAGGCCCGTGCTTGTTTAGGACCCATCGTCTGCAGATGGCGAGCCTGGGTTCCAGGGCTTTAAACTGCCGTTTGGAAGCAGGGTGTGGGGACATCTGTGCTCCAGAGCCAGCCATGCTCTCTTCTGAGTAACTCCCAGGTTTAAAACTGGGGAGACCCCTCCCTCCCTCACCAGCTTATTTCTTAGAAAGAAATGGGCACAGAGGATAAATCGCACCACCCCTCTGCTAATGTCTTTTAAAAGCCTGTGTTTTTCTTAATTAAACAAACAATGAGCATGTATTACTTATATGATCAGAAAAAAACGAGATGCCGTCCTGGCCGCCTCCTGGTGAGTTTTTAGTCCTCTTCAAGCCCTCACGGCGTAAAACCCCAGAACTCAGCCTCATCCTGAGCTGCTGTAGGAAGCACAAGGCCCAACCTCACCGACGTGAACCTGTTTCCTCATCTAAGACACGTGGGTAAGAGCGTCCGAGAGCCTGCCTTGCAGCTGAGGTGGGAAAGGACCATTTACAGAAAGGGCTTAGCTTGATGTCACACACACAGTGACCTTGCTGTCAGGCAGGGAGAGGGCTGGAGCTGGGAGGAGATGGACCTCGGGAGGCCAGCGGCCAGGCTGGAAACCTGGGTGCCTCACTGGGGATGACAGGTTGTGAGCAAGAATCAGGGTGCATTTCATTCAAAGTCTTCTCAGTTCTGCTGGGTTATGTATCACCAGTTATACCTGTAAATTTTGAAAAAAAAAATGATTGTTTTTAACAGGATGCTTTAAAGATAGCAGAGCAGAAAGACACAATCCTTGAACAAGCTGAGGAATTTACCGCCTGCATGACTAAGCAGGTCATCACTGAGCCCCAGTTCCTCCTTTGAAAGGCGGGCCTGGGCACTGCAGAGGAACCGAGAATGAAGGCAGGGACCGTGGAGGTGGTGGCACCGCGAGCGTTTACGTCTATTTTCACAGGACACTAAGGACTCGGGGTTTAGCCTCAGCCTAGACGAGAATCAGAAAAGCAGCCTAATTTGACCGTGAATGTAAACCTCCCCAATGTGCTGAATTTTCAAGGGGCGTTGATAATTTAAACACCTTATTTCGTCCTCGGAGAAGTCCTGAGAGGTAGCTGAAGCAGTGGCTCTCTGCACCACCTTACAGGGAAGGGGACAGCACAAAACAAGAGCGAGCCTCAAGGCTGTCATGCTTTTAATTCAACTCTGTAAAACGACTGCGTGCCTCTCATACAGGAGGCTGGGGGGTAGGTGCGGGGAGGGGAGCGGGACATAGACGACCCGCGGTGCGATTTCACTTGTTCTTTCCGCAGACGTGCATTGGGCGCCAGTGACGTGCCGAGCCCGTTCCAGGGCTGGGGATAAAACACTGACAAAACCATGTTCCCCTCTCATGCGGCTGGCATTTTAGTCAGAGGACACAGAAAATCAACAGATAACTAAGACAAACCCATGAAAGTACAGAAGGCCCAATGGTGATAAGTACCCTAAAGTAAGAAAGGCTGCGGGGTGAGACCATGGGGACACGTGAGCTTCGGGGCGCCCCCGGCCAGGCGGGCGTCCACCTTCACACCCGAGGCCGGGCTCCAGGTTAAGCAGGTTCTCTCAACCTCTCCCAGCTGGCGAGTCTGGAGACCAGGGCTGTCCGACTCCAAGCCGGGGAGGCTGCGCCAGGTTCTGGGCCCCTCGGCTGCATCTTCTGCGGGCCTCGCGGGCGGGAGGCCGCGGGCGGGGAGGGTGCCGGCTGGCGGTTCACACGTCCATCCCACACCCCGCGGGACGCAGTCCGCCGACCACAGGAGCCGCCTGATGAGCAATGCCAGCTGCTGCCCCGTCACAACCAGCGACCCTCGGGCCGCATGCCCAGCCGGCCGGCCTGAGCGGAACAGGGTGGAGGGGAGCCGGGTCCCCTGCCCACGGCCGCAGGGAGTGGGGAAGAGAAACTGCACTTGACCCTGCTTCCCGGGCGCCGTGGCCTCGGGCCGGCCTCTGCGCGTGGACCCGGCGGGGCCGCAGGGCTGAGTCACGGCCGGGCTGCGCGGCCCAGCGGGCCTTCCGGGGGGCTGGGCTTCGGGGTCACATGGGGGCTCTGCCGGGTCCTGTCCGCGGGCCGGGGCGGTGGGCACAGAGGAGTTGCCGGGCCGCTCCCCCCAGGGGGCCCCAGGACCCCAGCGCGAGTGCAGTCGGCTAGGGCGACCCTTGCCTTGCTCATCACTGTTCGGAAGGAATCGACCTGGGGCGTGAGGGGTGCGTTCGGGTCTGGCTCACTGTAGAGGCGGGAGAGGCGGAGCGGAGAGCGCATCGGGTCCGCCTCCGCCCCGCCCCCCCAGCGGCCAGCTGGTGGTACAGCCCGAGGCACCCCCGGCTAACGCTTTGGTAGCGCCCGGCCGCCGCTAGGCCCCGCCCCCGGGTGCGCATGCGCGGCGACTGTGCGCCGGTCGTGACACATCCGTGCGCAGGTAGGCGGGGGGCGGGGTCTCCGGGTCCAGTCGGCGTGTTCTCGTGGAGTTAGAGAGACCCCCCAGTCCTGGCGCGGAGGAGCCTAGAGTTCCCCGCGTGCGGCCCGCGGGGCTTGGCGTCCCTGCCTGGACTGTGGGCGGTGGGGCGGGGTCCAGCTCTCCGTCCTCAGGTGTGCAGGGCAGAGGCTCAGGTCGCCCCATCTGCAGGTGGGTCGGGCGGGGGGTCCGGTCGTTCCGTCTGCAGGCGGGGCGGGCAGAGTTCCGGCATCTCCGCCCGCAGGTGAGCCGGGGGTGGGCTCAGGCCGCGGTTCGGGCCGCGGTGGGAGGGGTGCAGCCGGCCGGCCCGCGGGCAGCGAGCCCGAGAGAGGACACTGGCAGACAGGCCGAGACCGTCCACGGCGTGCTCTCTGTGGGACTTGTTTATATTTTCTGAATTTTGTTTGTTGAGCGTGTATTTTAATTTTGGAAAAATATGTTTACAAACTGTCGGAGTATAATTCTCAAAATGTTAGAAACGTAATTCCTGAGCAAACAGGGAGCACAGGTCAGGTTAAATCGCTTAGGAAGGACCCGGCGGAGGAAAGCCCACCGGAGGCTGCCACCAGGAATGCTGGTCGGGGAGGGAGGCACTGGGATTATCCTCTGGGGGGAGAGGGGCGTTACGGCCCCTCATCACCCTATCAGTGTTGCTGGGTTGACCTCACAGACTGAAGTCTGGGCCAGTCCTTGCTGAACCGAACTGCTGTCTCCCCTGGAAAGTCAGGTGACCCTCAGGGGCTTGTGAGCGGTGACCCAGCGCGACATCAAAAAGCGTGCCGTTTCCCTCTTTCTGACCACATTTCCAAGTTTTGTATTTGGTTAGCCCCCAGTGAACGGAAGGAGCTCACAGATGCTCGGCGTCTGTGTCAGAGCTGAAAAGGTCCTGGTGGCCGGACTCCCGTCCCCGGGTCGGGGCTGCCTGGCCACTGCAACCCTGGAACCCACCCTCTTGTTAATTTCCTAAAACGCCCGGTTCAGTTCAGTAGAACAGCTGAAACTACCAAATCTTGTAAAACGAAGAGTAAGATGAGGTTTGTAGATGGATTTTTTCCCAGGGAAAATGGAGGCCTGTGGAGCCGGGACGGGCTTTCCAGCCGCCAGGAACCCGTTCCCCCGCGGCCGCGGCTCCACCACCAATGAGACGCAGGGGCTGCGGGGCGGGGCTCCGAGGACCCCGGACTGGAGGAGCGGGGGTCCTGGCTCTGCGGCTGTGCGGGGACGGGGACGGCGGCCTCAGGAGACACGAAGAAGCCCTAGGGCTGGGCTCGGGGTGAACGGGGTGACCCAGTGCCCCCGTGCCGGGACGGGTGAGGGGTGTGGTCAGGGTGGGTGGCTGCCGAGCCCTGGAGCTCTGCCTGCCTCTGGTCTGTGCCGCCTTCCGGAGCAGGGCCTGGCCACGCCCTGGGGTGCCCCCTAGCCACGGGGCAGCCGGGCCACCGCAGGGCTCCGGGGGGGGCCGCCTGGGTTGCTGCGGACCCCCACCCAAGGCCTGGCCTCATCCCATCATGGCTCAAGTGGGTCACCCACCTCGCCTGTGTGTCCCCGGGACCCAAGGCGACAGGTTGGACCAGACCAGCCGGCCCAGAAGCTCTGTGGAAGCGGCTGTGTAGGAGGGTGTGTCCGAGGCGGGTTTGAGCAGCGATCCAGATGGGGGAGAGTTGATAGGGTTTGAAGGGCGGCAGAGCATTGGGTTTTTACAGGGAGTTGTTTCTGTTTCTGTGATGGCCCCGAGCGTTCCGCCGCCACTGATCGGTCTCAGCTGAGTATTTCAGCGTCTGACCTTAGCCCGCCTGCATTTCTTTCTGTAGAAAGGTTACTAGAAGGCGTGAGGACCCAGAAACCGGGCTGAGGTTTCTCAGTGGTGAATTTGAGATGACGGTGGTTTTTCCTGGGTCTCTGGGGCCTTGGAGCCTTCCTCTTCCTTGGGCCTTGGCTCTGCGCCCCAGCCTCCACCCTGGCTGGGCCCACGCTTCAGAAGCAGGCTTTTCCCGTGCTCGGAGCCTGAGGCTGGCGGGCGGCTCTTTGTGCTGTAGCCTCGCTTGTCCACTCTCCGTCCCCTCTCAGGCCCTGCCCCGGCCCTCAGGACCCCACGTCTGTCTCCTTGTGCCTCTTGGTGGGAGGAGGAGGAAAAGGGCTGTTTCAGGCTTTCTCTCCAGGATAATCAGGGTTTGTTGGATTGGCTCACATTTAAAACCACCTGCGGCGCACAGAAGAGCCTCTCAGGTCTTCAGGACGCTGCCTGCTTTAGGAAAAGGAAGCCACTAAACCCTCCCTCCTTGGAGTCACAGGATCTTACATCTGGGGGACTGGAATTCACGCCGGTTCAGTGGTTCTGCACCTGCTTAGAGCGCCTGGGCACATAAGAAACACCCAAGCCTGGCCCCGCCCCAGGGCAGCGAAGTCAGGACCTTGGGAGGGGGCCTGGGCATCGTCCTCGGTGTGGGAAGCACAGACGAACCTGCAGGTGATCTAATGCACCTGGGCCCAGAGCTCTGAGTCCTGATCATGGTCCAATCCGAGGCCCCACTGGGTAGCTTCTTGATTTGAGGCAAATAACTAAACCTGAGCTCTCTTCTTTCCATTGGAAATGTACGACTCCCTGTTTAGCAGGTTAAACGGCCTAACTGAACGTGCCTGGCACGGAGTAGGTACTTCATATTAGCACCCGGCACCCACTCTGCTGTATTTATGTGTATTTTTCGTTCCTGTAGTCAGACACTGGAGTCCTGTTTTCCTAGCTCCGAAATAGTGGAACCAAGATCAGAACCCACTGTTTTGTTCTTTGGTCCCAGTGCCCTGGAGTCCCCCCAGCCTTCGTGAAGGGGCACCTATACCAGCCACTCGCCCTGGGCAAGCTTGAGTCATTGTTTTAGTCAGAGCTCTTCAGAGTCATGGGGACCCTCCCGTTTCAAGGCAGAGGTTCCACAGGAGCGTAGAGATGCAGTCGTGGCAAAATGGGAACAGTCGCCCAGACCGCGTGACAGGCTCGTGGAAAGGACAAGGTGAGGTTTCCGGAGGAGCCTGTTTCTCGGCACTTTCCAGTTTGTGCAGCGACCCTTTGCATGGGGTTAAGTTCTTGATGGTGCGGCTTCCTTCTGCCCAGCACTGAGACCCCCTCTCCCTTCCCTGTATTCGCCCCTGACCCCGCCCCCATCAGCTCCACAATACGGGACTAGATGCTTCTGGATTCTGCTATGAGAGGCTCAGTCAAGTGTGGCCACAAGAGGAAAGCAAAGCTCGTTATGCTCTCGGGTCCTAGAGGCAGGGCCACGCCGGGCACGTGGGGGGCTGGCCAGGGGGTCAGGGGGCGGAGGACAGGACGGAGGGAAGACTGAGGGCACGGCCTTTACTGGGGTTTCCAGAGGAAAGGCAGGCGGGGCGGGGGGAACACGTGCGATTGGCTGCTTTTAGTGATTTTGCCGGGCTTTGGGCGACAGGGCTGCCCCGAGCCGCTGGGCACCCGGCCCGGGTGTTTCGGGCAGAGGAGGGCCACCTCCCCGGGGGCGGGCCAGGCAGAGGAGGCCGGGCCTGGCCGGGCTGTCGGCATAGGTCCCAGGCGGGCTCCTGGCTGGGCCCTTGGCTGGTGGGGGGTTGTCTCTGCCCAGCCAGGCGGGACTTAACGATGTCAGAGCATCACAGTAGACAGAAATATATACACACACACACATAGATGTACACACACGTACTCCCCTAAGTACGGAGCTTGCTGTCCAGCGTAGGTGAGGGTCCAAGGAGCTCCGGATGGGGCGCTGGCTGGCAGTGTTCCCACCGTGGGTTCCGGAAGCACATCCTCCTCTAGGTGTGCTCTGTCTGGGGGACTTTGTGGGCTGTCACTGCCACCACGGGGGGCATCCACTGGAGAGTCGGGACCGTGTCTGTTTCCTGCCGCGTCCACGCCTGCCCCTTCTGTGCCTCGTGTCACTTTCTCTCGTGCTCCTGTCCCACCAGCGGGTGTTTTCTTGCTCTGTTTTTGTGTCACTGAATACACATAAGCTTGAGGAGAAGAGTTGTTAACATCCATTTTGTGGTGCTGGAGCAGCCTTGCGTCCCGGCTCCTTTCAGCCAGCAGAGGGTCAAGGCTCTTTTCTTTGTCCAGGCGGAGGATGGGCGCATGAGGGTCCCGGGGCCGTGCCCTGGTGCAGCGTGTGGACCCCGGCCCAGCCTGTACGACGTCGGCAGTATGAGCCTCCCGAGCAGCGGGCCGGCGGGCAGCATCTTTGACCTGGACTGCACCTCCGGGCAGGTCCGCTGGGCGCTGGTGGCCGCCGGCTGCACCTTCTACCTGGGCGTCTTCGTGGCCTGCCACCAGCTGTCATCCTCCCTGAACGCCACCTACCGCTCCCTGGGGGCCCGAGAGCAGGTCTTCTGGAACCTGGCGGCCACGCGCGCAGTCTTTGGCATCCAGGGCACCGCGGCGGGGCTACGGGCGCTGCTGCTGGACCCCGTGCTTCAGGCCGACAAAGTGCTTGGCCAGCAGAACTGGTGCTGGTTCCACATCACCACGGCAACCGGATTCTTCCTCTTTGAGAACCTCGCGCTCCACGTGTCCAATGTGCTGTTCCGCACATTCGACGGGTTCCTGGCCGTCCACCACCTCTTCGCCTTCCTCGGGTTTCTCGGCTCCGTGGTCAACCTCCAAGCGGGCCACTACCTGCCCATGATCACGCTGCTCCTGGAGATGAGCACGCCCTTCACCTGCATCTCCTGGATGCTCCTAAAGGTAGGCGCTTCCCAGACGGCATCTGTGCTCCGCAGCGGGAGGTGAGTGGCTAGTGAGCACCTTCACCCGCTTGATGCCCGTGTTGCTGGTCCCTCGTGGCCTGTGCTGTCATAGCATCACCAGGCTGGATTAGAGCATTACAGTCCGTAAGAAGCTCATTTTCGTTGAATTCCATTTTAATCATTTTAAACAGCTCTTTTAGGCTTCCTGCCCCATCGCAAAAGAAGACTCGGTGGATCGTGTGTCTTACTCAGTAACTGGCAGTATTTGTAAGCCCTAGAAAACATGCTTTTTCTTTGTTTCAGATACTTTTTTTTTTTTTTTGCGGTACGTGGCCTCTCACTGCTGCGGCCTCTCCCGTTGCAGAGCACAGGCTCCGGTCGCGCAGGCTCAGCGGCCATGACTCACGGGCCCAGCTGCTCCGCGGCATGTGGGATCCTCCCGGACCGGGGCATGAACCCATGTCCCCTGCATCGGCAGGCAGACTCTCAACCACTGCGCCACCAGGGAAGCCCCTCAAATACTTTTTTTAAAAAAACAAAGTAATATATGTCTACATACATATCTTTTAAAATTTTTATTTCACATTATGTTATCTTACACCCAACATGAGATCTGCCCTCTTCACAAATCTTTAAGTGTCCAGCACATTATCGTCAGCTGTAGTCACAGGTGCACAGCAGGCCTCTGGAGCTTATTCGTCTTGTATGATTGAAACTTCACTCCTGTTGGTCAGTAACTCGCCACTTCCCCTCCCTCCAGCCCCTGGCAACTGCCATCCACACTTTGATTCTAGGAACTGGACTATTTCAGATGCCTCATATAAGTGGACTCATGCCATATTTCTCTTCTGTTCCTGGTTTATTTCGCTGAGTGAATGTCCTCAAGGTCCAGCCATGTCATTGCACATTGAAGGGTTTCCTTCTTTTCTCAGGCTGAACAGGTTTCCATTACGTGTGTGAAGCACATCTTCCTTGGGTGTTTCAGTCTTAGTTATTGTGAGTGAACGTAGAGGTGCTAATATCTCCTCCACATTCTGATTTCGGTTCCTTTACTGGGTCATCAGGTAGCTCTGTTTTTAGAAAATAAACCGCCCCCACTGTTTCCCGCAGCGGCTGCAACGCTGTGTGTTCCCACCAGCAGTGCACAGAGGCCCACTTTCTCCACATGCTCACCAAAGCTTGTTGTCTTTGTTTCTCTGATGACATCTCACTGGCTTTTGATTTGCATTTCCCTGATGACCGGTGACAGTGAGCATTTATTCGTCTATCTGTTGGCCATTTGTATGTTGTCTTTGGAAAACTGTTCAAGCCCTTAGCCCATTTTTAACTCAGATTCTTTGTTATTTTTTTACTGTTGAGTTGTAGTTCTTTATATAAGTTCAAGATTAATCTCTTATTACACATATGGTTGGCAAATATTTTCTCCCACTTTGTAGATTGCCTTTTCACTCTGTTGATTGTTTCCTTTGCTGTGAAGAAGCTTTTTAGTTTGATGTTGTCCCAATTGTTTATTTTTGTTTCTGTTGTATGTGTTCTTGGTATCATATTCATGAAATCATTGCCAAAACGAATGCCATGAAACTTTTTCCCTATGTTTTCTTTTAGGAGTTTTGGGTCTTACATTTCCGCCTTCAAGTTGATTTTTGTGTAAGGTGTGAGATAAGGGTTCAGTTTCATTCTTTTGCATGTGAGTGTCCAGTTTTCCCAGCAACACCCGATTGAAGGGACTACCCCTTTCCTGCTGTGAGTTTTGGGCACCCTGTTGAAGATCAGTTGGCCGTGTCTGTGTGGATGTTTTCTAGGCTTTTGATGCTGCTCCACTGGTCTGTGTGTTTGTCTGTATGGCAGTTCATGCAGTTTTGATTTCTGTAGCTTTGTAATATCGTTTGAAATCAGGAAACCTGGTGCCTCCAGCTTTGTTCTTTTTCTCAAGATTGATTTGGCTATTGGGGTCTTTTGTGGTTTCACATGAATTTTAGAAATTTTTTTTGTTAAAAATGCCACTGGGATTTTCGTGGGGGTTGCATTGAACCTATAGACTGTGGATTACTTTGGTGACCTCCCTAGTGAGTTTTTTTTGTTTTTCGTGTTTTTTTTATTTTTGGCTGTGTTGGGTTTTCGTTGCTGCACGCGGACTTTCTCTAGTTGCGGCGAGCGGGGGCTACTCTTTGTTGTGGTGCGCGGGCTTCTTATTGCGGTGGCTTCTCCTGTTGCGGAGCTCAGGCTCTAGGTATGCGGGCTCATTAGTTGTGGCTCACAGGCTCTAGAGCGCAGGCTCAGTAGTTGTGGTACACGGGCTTAGTTGCTCCACGGCATGTCGGATCTTTCCAGACCAGGGACCGAACCCGTGTCCCCTGCATTGGCGGGCGATTCTTAACCACTGCACCACCAGGGAAGTCCCCCTAGTGAGTTTTTTAGTTCAGTTATTGTATTCTTCAGCTCCTTGATTTCTGTTTGGTACATTTTTTTACATTTCTGTCTCTTCGTTGACATTCCACTTGTTCCCACGTGTTCTCTTGACCTCGGCGAGCACCCTTATGACAGATGCCTTTAATTCTGTCGGGTACATCATGTGACTGCTCTCCAGTAGGGTTTGGAGATTGGTCTCATTCCTCGGTTTGGAGCGTCTTTGCCTGATTCTTCATTTTCCGTGACTCTCTGTTGGTGTCTGTGCATTAGACGAAGCAGATGGCTCTCCCTGGCCTCGTGACTGTCCTCACCCAGGAGAGATCCCACCAGTCAGCCTAGCCAGGGCCCTGGAGGTTCTCCCTTGACTTTCTCCCTCCCCAGGGAAGGGCAGGCAGCTGTGGCTCCTGTCTGCTTACATGTCCGATCCTGGGTGGGGCAAGGCTGTGTGTCCACCAGCCCAGGCCACCGCCTCCACCTCCTCTGCCAGCTGGACTGTGGGCCAGCGGCCAGGGAGCCCCCCAAACAGCTGGGGGGCTGAGCACGTGAACCAGCTCCTCCCCCTTCTGCGTGAAGCTGCGGGCCGGGGGTCTCTTCCTGACCCCAGGGTGCTGCCGGGGTCCCTGCCCGCTTCGGCGAGTCTGTCCCGGGTGCAGGGCCCTTTCGATGGGCCCCTGATTCGTCACGACAGAGTTTGTCTGTGAGCTGCTGCTCAGCCAGGCCTCCTCCTGGGGCCCCTCACGCGTCAGGCGCCTGGGCGGGGGTCTCTGGAAGCCCTTCCCCAGCTGGGGTGGGTCCACTGCTCAGGAAGAAGACAGACCCCAGCTGTGGGGCGGCCACCAGAGGGAGGCACTTTGTTTGGGGTTTTTTTCTGTTTTCTCTAAAGTGTTCGGGTGCCGTTCATTCAGGACGGAAAAGGGTGGTCCCAGAACCCACTTCTTCCCACTCGCCGCATTCACCACGCGGCCCGTGTCTCCACGGCAAAGCTGTCCCCTCGGCTAAGACAGCCCAGGGCCCATGTACCTACACAGCCATGGTCTTGGTCTAGTTCAGATACTACTGAACCTTGTGAGTAAACGCCGTGTAAAACGTTGAAATCCTTTAAGCTTTTCATAAAGCTGCCAAGTTCTTGCTTAGTTGGGCATCAGGGTCCAGGAATCCTCACCATCGGGGTCTGATTTGATGAGATACAGACGGGTGTCAGGACCCAGTGTCACCACTAACTTAACGTAGTTTACACCCCAGACGGGCTCATGCTTCCATTTCCTCCTCCAGTTTGATTCTGAAATGTTGTTTAGAAATAATAATAAATGAATTATACACTCAAACATCTAAACATGATTCATCCATGGAGACACTAGTCCAGATGCAAACGACGTGGTATAAAAAACAGTCAATTTATGTGTAAATAAGTATACACCAGGAACACTACCTGCTGGGACCCCAGCTATACAAAGTAACCTTTGCACGGTTAAGTCTCACTTTGTTACTGACCCTGCTTTTCTCAAAGCATTTGGTGATGTTGAACCCAAAAATTTCAGTGTCTGAGTAGGACCAAAAATGCTCACTTCTCAAGCTTGGAGTTTTCTAAACTTAATGTAATTACTGTATGAGTAGAAGTTCATGCTTCTGGTATGAATATTAGGAATTTAGGATGGCTGCTTTTAGTAAGTGGGCAAGATAATGGAAAGGAGTACATCTTGTGAACTTTGAAGGAAGCAGCAAGTGGAACGAAGACGGCTTGCTGGCCAGTGCCTGCAAGGTTGGAAGGGTGAGCAGTGCCCCGGCCCCCAAGCACATGTAGCTTACTCTGCAGTTTGTATGTTCACCCCGAGACACACTTAGCTCACCTTCCCACTCTACGTTTTGTACATTTAACGTCCTTCAGGCCAGAGCAAAGGCTAAATCTTTCCCACGTGAGGAATCTATCATTGAGAACCTCAAACCTCAAGTGTTTTTGCGTTTGAGAAACATTGTTTTTTTGTCTAATTGCACAGTTCAAGGAATTTTACTTGTATAAGTCATGATTCTAGCATAACGTGGAGAATGCCTACCCATGCAATGAGTATAAAACTATTTCTGTAAAACTGTGTCCCTCGTGCTCTATGGTTTTCTTTTCCTTTTAAACATTGATATTTAGTCCATTTGGAAAGTATTTTTAAGTAAAAGATCCAACTGGATTTTCCCAGGAGGTGAGCAAGGATCCTAATGTAATTACATTATCCATCCTTTCCCTGGGGGTTCGAAATGCCGCCCAGTGCCAACTCTCCATGTATTTTATTCACTTCTGCGTTTTGCATTGTTTATCTGTTATTTCTGAAGCATCATCGTATCTCATTATTTGCTGAGGCACCTTCAGCCCTCCTTGCTCTTGTGCGTTTACTCCACTGCATGAGTGACTTTACTTAAAGTTGTTACAAGTTGACAAAAATACTGATGTATCCTCTTATTTGGACTAAATCTGTGGATGCATTCAAGCAGGGAAGATGTAACGTCTTCTGAGTGTTTTCCATCCAAGCACATAATAACGTGCCTCGTTTCATCCAAGACTTCTTTCAAGTCCCTCTGCGGTGATGGTCTCGTTCCCAGAAGGAGGGGAAATGTATATAAAAAAGTTGAAGAAGCGAGGTCCGTCATCTCCTTCGTTTACTTGCCTCCCTGCCTTGCAGACCTCTGGGTCGCCCAGAGGCGGATCATCCAGGCAGGAGGCTGGGTTCTTTTTGCAGGATCTTAGTCCCCCGACTAGGGATTGAACCCGTGCCCTCGGCAGTGAGAGCGCAGAGTCCTAACCACCGGGCCGCCAGGGAATTCCCCTTTCTTTCTCTTTTAAAATGTCGTCACTCCAGAGGTCAGTTGCTGTGTCCCCCTGTGGCTCCGCAGGTGCGGCCGCAGTGAGGCCATGCCCGTTCCCAGCGTCACCGGGCTGCTGCCTGGCGAGGCGTCCCCACCTTCCCGGCCCCTCCCCACTGCCCCCTTTCCTCTTGCAAGTGCCAGACGTGCCCCTACCCTGGGGAGGCGGTGTCGGGGCGGGGAGCTGCCCAGGAGGACGCTCCAGCCCGGGCAGAACGCAGCGGGGAGAGGCCGGTGTGCACAAGCTCACGGGTCTGAGGTGTGTGGGCTGTCCTGGTACCTGTTGTCCTGGTGCCGGGCTGTCCAGGTGCTGACGTCCCCGCCACAATGTCCCGCCTCTGTGCCCACAGTGTGCTGTGTAACATTTTCAAGTTCCCTGTTTGGTTTTAGCTACAGCTAGCTTTAATGTGAATTTAGAATAATTTTAAGGCAAGTCCATTTGGGCTTGTGTCCAAGGTCTACTGGGGTAAAAATACCGAAAAACAAAGAAGTGAGGACACACATCTCATCCTGAGCTTGTCTCCTCTGAGAGCGTTTGCCCCCGGGGCCCGGCGAGCCTGATTGGACACGACCAGCGTATCTTCCAGCTTCACTGGGTCAGCGTTGGGTAGTTGGGTAGTTAGTTGCTCGATGTGTGCACGGTCGAGGGAAGAAGCGCTGGAGGTGAGCTTAGAAGGTGTGAACTTTCCTTCCGGGGGCGCAGACCAGCAGGAGCCCCGCGCTGGGTGGGTCTGCGGGCGGCTGGGCGGGGCCGGGAGGGGGCGGGGACAGGGCGCGGTGAGTCCGCCCGCCCTGACCCCGCTCTGCCCGCAGGCCGGCTGTGCGGACTCGCTGCTCTGGAGGCTGAACCAGTGGCTGATGGTCCACCTGTTCCACTGCCGCATGGTCCTCACCTACCACATGTGGTGGGTGTGCCTGGGCCACTGGGACAGCCTGGCCCGCAGCCTCTTCCCGCCGCACTGGGCGCTCTTCGTGGTCGGGCTGGGCCTCCTCACGGTCCTCATCAACCCCTACTGGACCCGCAAGAAGACGCAGCAGCTGCTCCACCCTGTGGACTGGAACTTCGCGCCCGGCCGCCCCAACGGGCCGGCGCCGCCGAAGAAGACGAGGTAGCGGCCTCGGCCCCGACTGTCCCCGCGGCGCCGACCCCAGGCCGCGTGAGTACTGACTTCCGCGTGGCGCCGAGTACCTACACCTGAGCGCGCCTCGGGGACAGAGTCCCGCCGTGGTGACGTCACGGCTCCATGTGCTCATTCCCGCGAGCTTGGCCTGTGTGCGCCGTCGCCCCAAGGAGGGCCCGCGTGGACGGGTCGCACTAAAGCGTGTGTGCGTCTTATTCAACAGCCCCGTTTTTTTTAGTTGGAGAGAACTGTCCCAAGAGAACATAATCCTGTCCCTTACCCTGCTGACATTCCCAGGGCTGAGGTGTAAGCCGCGTCTCCGCAGCGCCATCTCGTGGTGAGCGCGGGGCATCGGCCTGGCTTGCGGCTGGGGGAGGGGGAGGGGTCTTCTCACCAGGGAAGCTCATCCGGCGAAGAGTTTTGTTTCCGTTTTGTGTTTCTCTGTTGACACATTAAGAGAGGTGTTAGTAATCAGATTTGTCTAGATTTTAGAGCTGTTTTTAACTAAGTTTCAAACAGGTGCCCCGCCAGACCCTACCTAACCCCCTGGTTGGTGTCTCTCTGTAGGTTTCGCCAGACCCTACCCCCTGGTTGGTGTGTCTCTGTAGGTTTCAAGTCGGGGCATTGGTCACTCTCCCTGCGAGCTGTGGGTGGACCTGGCCCCTTGGAGTGCCCGGCTGCAGGGCCCCCTCCTCACCTCCCGGTGACGAGCCCGGGCACCACCTTTACCGTGTGGGGCCCGGGTGGAATCTACACGCCGACCCGCAATTTTACTGATGAATACGTACTGACATCTTATTCTTGCCATGAGTGGGCAATTAAAATGAAAATCTCGTATTTACTGAAAGTGCCCTTGAACTGTTTTTGAAAAACACATTTGTTGGTCGTGAGAATCACGTGTACCTTGTGCTTGGTCTGTAACTCGGCCCCTCAGAAGGGTGTGTGCTGATTTCTGGTACTGTGACTTGACTGTAAGTAGGTCAGGAGATGTGATACCTGCTTGTGTCATTTTGAGAAGTGTTTCAATCCTAGAAACATCCAGCAAACCGTGTCCCTGCTGAGACTTCTCTCTCCCTCGCTGAAGACCCCGGGCACCTGCCGCCCGCTCTCCCGTCCGCAAGCGGGGGCGGGGGGGGGGGAGCTGCCTGTGTTTCCAGCCGGTCAGAACTTTAATAAAGTAACCAATGTTTACAGAACCCGAAAGCATGTCCGTTCTTTCAACACTGTTCACATTGCTGTGGAGGTTTTCTGTCTCGGTGATACAACTGTGATGATAAATCTTCACGTGCTCAAGGTTTGAACTCAGCTTAAGGTATAAAATATTTAATTTTTACGTGACCCTCACTGGGAATTTGGCTTTCCCCGGGCTCAGTCTCTACATCCTTCATCTCAGTGAAGGTGCTTTTGCCTCCATCCCGACCCGACTTCCCGTGAGGACCGCAGAGGCAGGGGCGTTTGGTCAGAAAGGGCCTTTTGAGGCTTGTGATCCAGCATCCAGGCACCTTCGCTGCCCGGACAGGTGCTGCCTTCCGGGCTGTGGGTGCTTTGCGGGCTCCGCCCAGCCCGTGCACAGACGGGACGAGGCCATAGAGAGAGATGTCGGGGGGTGTGCAGGGGGGCGTCGGCCCCTGGCCCTCCTCAGACCCCGTCTTTCTGATCGCTGCGGCTCCGCCAGCTGTCCCTGCTGCAGACCGCTGGGTTTTCCCAGGCGCCGCGCTGGCCACCGAGGGCTCCTCGGTTCCTGGTACGAACAGCTCTAGGAAGTAGGCACCGTCGATCCCATTTAGAGCTGGGGCCTGGGGCTACGAGGTGGCGCAGGCGGTCAGCGGCCACGCCCTGACTTTAAAGCCGAGGCCCGTAGACTGCGTCTACGGGCACAGAAAGCAAGAGGCAGGCCCCGGCTGACCCTGGCCACCAGACCCAGCTGCATCCGCGTACGCAGAGCACTGGAGCACTGCGGTGTCTGTCCAGGTACCGCAGCCCCGCGGGACAGATGCCCGGCCGCTGGTGAGCGAGGCCGTGGCGGCGTCAGCGGGCAGGTACGGGGGTCCACCGGGAAGGGCAGTTAGGAAGTTGGGAAGTGGGAGCGGCGGCCCGGCTCTGGCACCTGGAAGGCCGGGGCCGCAGGCGACTCTCCCGGGGCAGGGCTGGGGTCTCCGGGTTGAGCGAGAGGCTGGGCGCCCCTGGGGGGCCAGGCAGCCTTGTCTGCAGCACCCGTGTCTGCGTCAGGGCCGGTCAGGTGATGGGGTGATGGGCTGGAGTGGCTGTCACGTACTTCAGAGTGTTGAAAGCAGCAAAGCAGGGGACCTGTCTCCTCTCCCTCCTGCACCGGCACTGTGCACACGGCCGGGCTCGGGATCGGAGCACGGGGTGGGGGTGGGGGGGCGGCTCCAGCAGGCGCCCTCAGGCTCCTCCCTCCTCAGGCCCTGGGCTCACCCTCATCTGGCCCTTTGCGACGGAGTTCCCCACGTGGCCGGCTGGAGCCCCGCGCTGGGGGCAGCGGCCACGGGAGGAGGGGACTGGATGCCAGGTGAGCCAGCGTCCCCAAAGGTCAGACTCGTTTCTAGTTGTAAGAGTGAGGTTGACACCCAAAATAAACCCCGAGTGATGCCCACCCCTTCATGGATGCATGTGGATGCTTTCAGTTTACCTGTATCTTTACTAAACTTCTGCTCTAATGGGAGAGTTTATTAATTCAACGTTTCTCTTTTTAAATAAATCTTCCCGTTTTTCAGTAACTAGACTATACGGTACACATTGTCTTGCCAGGTCATGTTTAGTGAAGTGGAAATCTCAGAAATCTGTTTTCTTCCTCTGATGGCTGGGAATGCACAGTGCTCTGGAGCGGACCCTGCCCGTCCGGGGCCTGCAGCTCTCCCCGCAGCCCGGCCGAGCCCAGCTACGCAGAGCAAGGAAGCTGCACCGTGACACCCCGTCCCACACGATGGGAAGGGCCGTGGGAGCCGCTTCTAACTTTCTGCCCCCGGGGGCCCACGGTGAGAACTCACTCCTCTCTCACTGTATGTATTTCCCTCTTACTCTCGTGCGGTTTCAGTGTCAGGTGCCGGCCTGTGGAGGCCTGTGGGTGTTCTCTGTGCGTCTGTGTACCCTCCCCCTGCCCCCCCAATTCACATGCTGGCATCCTGACCCCCAGCGTGACGGTGTCAGGAGGTGGCGCCGGCGGCAGGTGACTAGGTCATGAGGGTGTGGTCCCGTGATGGGATCAGTGCCCTGACAGGACGCGAACGGAGAGCGTGTCCCCCCCTTCCCCCTCCCAGGTGAAGCTGCGTCGAATCTGCCTCCACCCTGACCCTGCGCTCCCAGCCTGCAGGTCTGCGGTGACCTGCTGAAACAGCCGGGGCTGAGTCACTGGGTCCCCGTGACCTCAGCCTTTTCTCCCTGCGGCCCCCAACCCCCCAAGTCAAAAGTTTCCCAAAATTAACCCAGCATTAAAATCCTCAGTTATTAAAGAAAGGTGTTGAAGGTCAAGTCTTCTAATCTGGAAGTGCCCTGTTGACATTCTACTAGAAAACTTTTACTTTGTAAACTTCATAATATTTACTTGTATTTCAAACAGAACCACAGTTGGAAAGGGGCACATTTCAGCCACAGTTTCTTTGGTTTGTATCGAGATCACCCTCAGCTCTTTTCCAAGAAATATGGAGCCTATTTGGTCCACTCCAGAGATTTTATTTCCGCACAAGACAGACCAAGAGCCCGGAATGTTGGAGCCTTCACGGATTTTGTGCAGAAAGCCAAGCTTCAGAAAGTTCAAGGCCAGCCACGCCAGGACTCTCATTTTCCGTCTTCCGGTAATTGCTTGATTGTCTCAAAATGAAACATGTATTCACTTAAAAAAAAAAAGCTCAGAAAAACACCGCATTCACTGAAAATGATGGTTTACACTTTAATTTGGAGCCAGTTATCCAACCGTGGGTTAACCTTCGTCAGTTTGTCCTTTGCCGGCTGGGTTTGCAGCCCCCTCGCCCCTCAGCGCCCCCGGGTATGAGGTGGGCTTGAGAGGGTGGGAGGGGTCCTGGGGGTGCATGTCTTCTGCCAAGGAGGGTAAGCCTGGAGCAGGAAGCCGTCACCCCTTCCTGCGTCCTTTCTGCCTAACACGCAGTTTTGACGCCCACAGGTTCCCCCACCCTTGTCACGGGGACAGGCCTAAGGCCCTGGAAGCAGGCGTCCCTGGGGGCATCTCTGCGCTGCTGCACGGCCCGGCCCGGCCCGCCCCCTCTGGATCGCCTGTCAGGTGAGAAGGACTTTCTGCCCTGGAGTCCCCATCCCCACAGGAGGCCCAGTTACAGAAATGCGAACCTTGAACCTTTTCATCCCACCGTGCTCGTGGTCTTTCATTTGGGTTCAGATGAACAGCCTGTGACAGTTAGCCCTCAAGAGAGGATGTTTCCAGTCTGAAGCTGCTGACCTTTTTTTTTTTTAAATGCTTGCCTTTTAAAATTTTATTTATTTACTTATTTATTTATGGCTGTGTTGGGTCTTCGTTTCTGTGCGAGGGCTTTCTCTAGTTGTGGCAAGCGGGGGACACTCTTCATCACGGTGCACGGGCCTCTCACTATCGCGGCCTCTCTTGCGGAGCACAGGCTCCAGACGCGCAGGCTCAGTAGTTGTGGCTCACGGGCCCAGTTGCTCCGCGGCATGTGGGATCTTCCCAGACCAGGGCTCGAACCCGCGTCCCCTGCATTAGCAGGCAGATTCTCAACCACTGCACCACCAGGGAAGCCCTGCTGACCTTTGTCAAAATCATCTTCGTTGACGGAGGGGAGACGGCGGTGGCGCGGGACTCAGCACCCTCTCAGAAGCAAGGCCCCCAGAAGTGTGCTCTTTGTTCCATTTTATATTTATCTTCAACTTTTTATTTTGAACTAATTTCAAACTTAGAAAAAGGTTGGGAAAATAGTAAATACAAACAAACAACCCCATACACCCCTTACCTGGGTTTACCGATTCTTACCATGTTGCCGCGTGTTTCGCCCGTCTCCCGGCTTCCCCGCGTCCGTCACCCCTCGATACTGCGTGCGTGAGCCTGTGACGGAGGACGTCCTCCTAAGTAGCCTCACCTGGCGTCAGCCAGAGAGATGGCACAGAGTCTGCACTTTGGTCTGATGTGCAGCCAGGTGGTTAGCCGGGTGGCCGCCCCGTCCATCCTCCTGTCCTCGCCCTCCTGGCCTGGACGCAGCCCGGGATCCCTGCGGCCTTCGGGTGTCACGTCCCTCAGCCTCTCTTTCTCTTCGACAGCCTGGGTATTTCGGAGGAATAGCAGCCAGCTGTGCGGTAGAAGCCCCCTGAGGGTGGGCGGGTCGGGAGCTCTGTCAGGATTGGACTCAGGGACGCATTTTTGGCTGGAGAACCAGGTAAGCGTCGCTGTCCTTCTTGGGCCTCAGACCCTGAGGCGTTAGTGTGTGAAACTCGGTGGCCGGGTCGCGGTGTTGTCTGGTTCTCACTGGACAGTTGTCATCATCCCTCTTGTCATTAATGAGGAACGTGGGGGGAGGCGGTGACACTGACGGTCCCGTGTCTGCACAGAGCCGCCTCCTGCCCCAGGTTTACCGTCCGCTCACAACCCCACTCTTCCTGCAATGCTCGCGGACCGTCAACTTCCCGAGTCCATCGTTCCTTCCACATTGATTAGCCACGTTCTGTCGTAAATAGAATCTTCCCACTTTTAATGCATTATCAATACGGGCTCATGGGTTCATTCCGTAGCTTTATTCTGTGCACAGCAGGTTGTAGGTTATGTGTAACTCCCTGTTGTCCTTATACATTGTCCCTGCTTCGCCAGGGGCGTTCAAGCTGCCCCCAGTGTCCTTTTTTACACCCGTCGTTGTTTTTGATTACCTCCCTGTTTTCTCTGCGACAGGATGCCCTCGCACTGTGTTGTCCCTGTGCTGGATTCACCCGTTTCTCCGAGGACCTGGTTCTTTCGTGAGGTTCTTTCGTGAGGTTCTGGGAATCGGGATGTAAGTGTGCCATGTGCTCATTGCTAGCGGGTTATCACAGCCTCTAGGCCCTTCCGCCTCGCACGCCCCATCCTGTCCTGCTCTGCAGGGACTCTGGCTATGGTATCAGTGAGGTCACACATGGTCACACGTCCATATGTGCATACAGATGCAGAACTGCCACCCGTGGACAGAATCCAACAACCAAGAAGAGTTTGCAGAATTTTTTTCTTTATTCCAAGGGTGTACAGTCACAGTGCTCTGTGTTCAGTTACTTAACCTCCTCCTTCCCCACCTTGCCTTCAGGTGATCATGATATTAGAGAGACAGTCCTGTGCACTTGTTTCTTTTTGCATTCAGTGTTAGGGTTTTCTCCAATTCTTGTTAATCTGATTGTATTTTTTTGCACATGTAGAATATTATCCAGAAGTCAAAACTGTTCAAAACACTGTGTTTAGAGAAAGGTCACTGCCTTCTCTGTTGCCTCCATCCTGTTCTCTTTATTCCTCGTGACAGATTTCATTCATGTTAACAGCTCTCTTGAACTATAATTCACATACCATCCAATTCATCCATTTATCAAGTGTACAGTGTGGGGAAAACAGTCAATAATTATGTAGCATCCTTGTGTGGTGACAGACGGTAACGGGACTTACCCTGGAGATCCGTTTGTAATGTACAGAAATAATCACTGTTGTATATACTGGTTTGAGATGCCACTTCTCTCGAGCTGGATTTTCTTGGGCGCGTGGCTCCGTCTCTGGTCTTGGTGTCCTCTCCCGTTGGTCATTGTTGGTCAGTCCAGCGGTTTTTCCATCATAGAGACTCTGTGGGTTGTTTCAGTGTTTTCTAGCTACTTTTGTGTATTTTTCCAAATGAACTGTAATATCATACAGTTTTGTTGAACTGCAAAAAACAAAAAAAGGGGGTTATTGGTCTTTTGTTGAGTTCTCATTCATTTCGCAGTAACTTGGAGGCGTCTGACATCTTGGTGGTGCAGAGGCACCAGTCCCAGGACAAGGAAAGCCTTTCCGCTTGTTCACGTCTGCTCTTCCCGTCACCAGCACTGCGCAGCCAACCGCCCACAACTCGGTGGGTTGAAACACCTGCCGCTTCTCAGTCAGGAGTCACGGGTGGTTGGCTGGGCCCTGCTCTGTTCTATGCGGTCACCCAGCCGCCCTGCAGGGCCCGGGGCAGCTTTGCCACCTGCGGGAGGGCTGCTCCGGTGAGGGCCTCTCCTCCACGTGGCCTCAGGCCTTTCCCGCGGCAGCTGCGCAAGTTCAGAGGACTTGTGGCTTCTCAGGCTCATGGTGCAGAGACAGGAGGTGAGGCTGCCAGTCCCATCCTGCCTGAATTCTGCCACATTCTGTTGTCACAAAGCTGACCCAGACCCAAGGGCAGGCAGGCGTGGGACCCTGAGCTCAGCGATAGCCAGGCCAGAGGGTTCGCGGCCGGCTTCAGTCTGACATGTCCGCTTCTGTGTGTCCGGGATGTTTCAGGTTCTCCTAGTGCAGGTTTTGCACACAGGCCAGAGGGCTCGCGGCCGGCTTCAGTCTGACATGTCCGCTTCTGTGTGTCCGGGATGTTTCAGGTTCTCCTAGTGCAGGTTTTGCACACAGGCCAGAGGGCTCGCGGCCGGCTTCAGTCTGACGTGTCCGCTTCTGTGTGTCCGGGATGTTTCAGGTTCTCCTAGTGCAGGTTTTGCACACTTCTTGGCTGGTGTGCTCCTGAGCTGCTCGTTGCTTTTCTCGCTGTCTTTAAAGGGCTCTTCTCTCCCGTTGTATTTGCTTATAACTTGTGTACATGAAGGTTACTGCTTTTTGCATGTCAATTTATATCCTGCTAACTTGAATTTTTTTTTTGAGTTAGTTTTGTCATTGGTTATCTAGATTTTCCAAGCATAATACCATCCTGTGTATAGAGATGCTTGTACTGCTTTTCCAGTTGTTAGGCCCATCTTTGTTTTTTCTTGTCTAGTTATATTGGCGAATACCCAACAGGATGTTAAACAGCAGAGATAGTAAAGTCCTTGCAGACTCCTCGGTATCCCCTTCTGGGAACCTGTGCCTTTAGGGTATTTTCGTGATAAGAAGTATCCATCTGTTCAGATTATCTGAAGTGCTTCTGTTAAGAATGGGTGTTGAATTTTGTTAAAATTTTTTTCCAGCATCTTGGAGGTAATCATGCAGCTTTTCATCTCAGACCTATTAAGATGGTATTGATAGATTTCCCGTATCAAACTACCCTGTGTTCCTGCACAAATCTCATTTGGTTGTTAACTTCTGCTTTTTTTTTAAAGTTTATTTTTGGCTGTGCTGGGTCTTCATTGCTGCACATGGGCTTTCTCTAGTTGTGGCGAGCGGGGGGCTACTCTTCATTGCGGTGCACGGGCTTCTCATTGCGGTGGCTTCTCTTGTTGCGGAGCACGGGCTCTAGGCGCACGGGCTTCAGTAGTTGAAGTTTGCGGGCTATAGAGCGCAGGCTCAGCAGTTGTGGTGCACGGGCTTAGTTGCTCCGCGGCATGTGGGATCTTCCTGGACCAGGGCTTGAACCTGTGTCCCCTGCATTGGCAGGCAGATTCTTAACCACTGCACCACCAAGGAAGTCCGACTTTTGCTTTCTTAATGTGGTATGAGAGTCTGCTTTACTTGCTAATATTTTGTTTGAAACTTTACATAGTATTTTATTTGAATTTTACAAGTTCATAAATGATATTGGTCTAAAATTTTCTTTTGTGTGTGAGGGCTCTCAATCAGTTTTAGGTATGTTATGCTTGCTTGATAAAAGAAAATTGAAATCTGTTCTCTGCAATAATTTCATATTGGAGCTATCTGAACTGTAAAAGTTTGGTGGAACTCTCTATTTTGAAACTGCCTGGGCTTGGTCCTTTTTTTGTGGGGTAGTTCCCTGATGAATTTCTGTATTTCTTCAGTGTAAACCAGCCCCTTTATGCTGTCACAACTGGGGTTGAATTCAGTAAAATTTTTTCCTAGGAAATTATCTATTTCATCTACATTTTCAATTTTGTTTGCATAGAGGTCTCAGTAAGTTTCTTTTTTAAAAAAAATAGTTTATTTTATTTATTTACTTTTGGCTGTGTTGGGTCTTCATTGCTGCACGTGGGCTTTCTCCAGCTGTGGCCAGCGGGAGCTACTCTTCGTTGCAGTGCGCGGGCTTCTCCTTGCGGTGGCTTCTCTCATTGTGGAGCACGGGCTCTAGGCACACAGGCTCAGTAGTTGTGGCTCACTGGCTCTAGAGCGCAGGCTCAGTAGGTGTGGCGCATGGGCTTAGTTGCTTCGCAGCATGTGGGATCTTCCTGGACCAGGGATCAAACCCGTGTCCCCTGCATTGATTGGCAGGCAGATTCACAACCACTGTGCCACCAGGGAAGCCCCTCAATAGGTTTCTTAAGAGACTCAAAATAGAAAATTCAGATTTCAAAATTTAAAAGAGAGTTTTGAGATAACTGATTCTGTGCATGTAACTATGTAGTGATAGATAATTTTTTTTCTTGTCTTTCTTAGTTCTAGTGTAGTAAGGTGTTCTAATAAATGAAATCATGCTTAGAACGCACAGTCCGGGAAATGAAACTCAGTTTTAATACATCAGTTGACAATTACTTTCAGTATCTTGGGTGTCATTTACAATCCTGCAAATAATAAACTCGTAGCTTTTAACATTCAGGCCGAACAGTCACCTGACTGGGCCTCTTAAGCAGAAGATGAAAATAAAAATCACTTACTGTTTTGTCAGTGGAAATGTTATAGGCCAGTTAACAAACTCTGAAACTTATGGACACGAATTTGAGCCCAGTTAGTTTCAGTGTACGAATCATACAGGCTCTTGGGCTGTGAGGAGAAAGCTTTAGTATACTTAGTATACTTGGTCTATAAAAGAATTGTTTACCCTTAAGAAGTTCAAGTAGGAACCACTGTCCTCCTCGGCCACTTCCTGAGATCAGGGCAGGCAGAGCCTTTGTTGTCAGGCCTCAGGTGAGGACACTGGGCCCATCACCCTCCTTAGGTCCGGCACCACTGGTCAGCGGCAGGGCCCTCTTCCCTTAAGGACTGTGACTTTCTTCCCTGTCCCCACTCCGTCCCCCAGTCCTCTGTTGGGGCTCGCCCTGCGCTGCTGTCCCGCGTCGGATCGCTTCCCAGCAGACACTGAGACGAGGGCGGGTAGCACACTCCGTGCTGGAGGGAGGCGGCTGGAGCAGGAAAGGGGGAGAGGAGGCCAGCTCTCAGTCCACCGCTGGCAGCCGGATGGATCCTGGCCCGGGAAGCACGGACAGCCCTGAGGCCCGGCTCTGCAGTAGTGGGTGGGGCTGCTTCTGGGCGTCAGTGCCAGCATTTCCCTGCCTGCCCTGGGTGCAGCCACTCTGCAGACAGAGGGACCAGCTGGCCAGGGGACACGGTCAGGGCGCCGACTGCAAGTTTTATGTGAACATGTTCCTTTAAAAACACGTATTGTTGTCATTTTGTACAAATGGCATTGGGTACGGATGTTGGTTGTTCACCCACTCAGTACTTTTTTGTGTGGAGACAGACGTTCTCTCTGTCATTTCCAGGTCCAGCCGGGGACCCGTGTCGCTCCAATCCAGGCCTTCAGCGCTGCCCACCCGGACGGGCTCCGGCTCCGCAGGGTCACAGCCGTGCTGCAGGGGACACCCGTGTGCCCCACCTGCTGTGGGCCGGAGCCTCGGGGTCATCGCAGGAGTGGAAGCGCTGGGTCCAGGCCTCCGCGGATCTTCTTCTCCCGGCTGACACCAGGGGGCTCAGGTCTGCGTGGCTTGGCCCCCTGCCCTGCCGGGCCCGAGCAGACGCTGGGGTCCCGGCACCGCCCCTCCCGTCTCTTCCGACCATGTGGCTACTCGTGCTTGCCAGCTGTGTCGCCGGTGCAGGCTCATCGTGAGGGCTCCCTGTTCCCATTGATCTGTTTGCGGTGTGGGGGGTCCCTCTTCTTCCTGATGATTCTGTGCCTCTTGAAGCCCGGTTGCCCGTCGAGCACCTCGGAGTCGGTGTCTCCCCAGCCGTCACCTCCAGGCTCTCTGCGCCTCTGCAGGTCACGCAGGGGAGGGTCTCGTGAGAGCGCGTTCTCCAGCTCAACAGCCGCGGTTCTGTTTAGTCTGATGCATCTAATGTAACTACTCATCTGGGTGGACGCAGGCCTGATCTGCTCTTGTTCATCGTGCCCATGCCTCTTCTGAGTCGGTCCGTTGTTCTCATGCTCCATTGTAATTTCTCCTTTTTAACTGTGCGCTCAGCTTTCAGGGGCTGCTCTGGGAATCACGTTCTTCATCCTTAGCCCGTCAGTCCAGGTTATTCCGTATCGTGTGACGTGAGAGCGTTGATTGTCCTCCAGTTTCTATAACGTGTATTGATTGAAGTTTCCACTTTGCTCTTGTTGCAATTTCACCATTTATATTTTCAAAAAATGTCTTTCATCTACACTTCATAATTATTAATGCATGCTTTTTAAAAATATACTTTATTTTGGCAAACCTCTTAATGTCTAGTTGTTTTGGTTGGTTCTATAGTTTATTTGTATCTCCTCAAGATTTGTTTATATCACTCATCTTTCCAAGCAGTAGGGGTTTTTGGTTATTCTTTTTTTTTTCCAATAAGCTATTTATTTGTCCTTATATTTATGTCCTTCCTTCTTGTTACTTTAGTTTTCCTCTTTGTAAATTTTTATATTGAATATTGTTTTCCTTTAAGTATTGCTTTAACTTTGTCCCACAAATTCTGACATTTTTGTTTTCATTTTCATTCAGTTCTAAATATTTCTTAACCCCCTTCTGATTTACTTTTAAATGCAAGCGTTATTTAGTAATGTTATTTTCTTTCCAAAAATGTGGTATTTAGAAAAAAAAGTCTATCGTTTTGGTATTTGTTTGGAAATGTATTGTCCTGTTCTAGAAAGAACATGACCACTTTGTTACTTTGGAATTTATTGTGTTTCCTTCTGTCCAGCAGCTGCCCGGGCGCTTTTGTCTCAGGCACAGCCCCCAGTGCCTGCCGCTGACTGGACATCGCTGGGCCACGGTGCTTTCGATTCCCTGATGAAGGAAGCAAGGCTGTGGTCCTCCTGGTCTGAGACATCTGGTAAGTGGTGGAACCTGTGTGTCAACCCCAGGTGTTCTTCCCTACTGGGTGCCTTGGTTGGGATTTTTCTTTTGGCGAGAGGGGAGGCATAGGACTTAGTCATCTGGTTTTGAGCAGAGCACCACTTTAACTAGGTTTTCCCTTCTGGGTCAAGGAGTGTCTCGGTCTCCCGGCACTGCCTACAGTCGCCCCCTATCAGACCACGGCTCATCTGCACGCCGGGTGGAACAGCAGGTAGGAAACTTTCCATTCTTGTGCTAGGGAACTGTGACCCTGAGAAGCCCTGGACACTAGTCTGGTTCTGGTGACACTGGCTGTGTGAAAGAATGTGAAATCAGAGCTCTATTCCATCTTGGAGTCCCCTAGGGTGTATTTTACAAAACTGGGACATTTTCAGCTAGGCTCCTATGTAAAGGAAGAAAATGTTATTTTATTGTAACACTGCTTAGCCCCAGTATTTCTTGGGGTCCAGGGAGAAATGGCCCCAGTAGCTCTCTAAATCACACCACCATATTTCATCTAAAACTGGGGAAGGTAAATGGTATGAAATTCTTTAGCCTTTATGCTATTGAATCAAAGTGAGCCTTTTGGAATGGGTTTGGCTCTTATCTTGGGTAGGTATGTGTTTGTGTCTTGGTGCATGAGTCCAAACCCTGTTTTCTCTTCCTGGTTTTGAACCCTGTTAGGGGTCCTGGTTTTGGGGGAGACCCCACTGGTAGGAGGGAAACTGAAAGGATTAATTGTTCTCAGAGACCGTCCTGGTATTGACCCTCGTTACAGGGCCCTGGTAACCTGAACGTGGTGTAGACACTCGTAGAAACTGCTTAGTTTGCTCTTCAGCCTGATTTAGAGCCACCTACAAGTTTGTCCGGAAGTGAGCTGTGTGAATGTGAGTGAATGATATGCACTATTGTGTTATTTAAACTGAATTGGCTATTTGGGTACTGAAGGAACTCTCACCTTGAAAATGGCCAAAATGGGGCTCTCTTGATGTTCTAAAAGACTGGTTGCTGCATATGCAGTGAGAGGAAGCTGGCTTCCTAAGAGGAACTTGCTTTACTCTCCCTGTGCCTTTGAGATACAGATGTTCTGACAATCTCCAGTTCCTGAGACTGAAGCGAAAAAAGGGAAGGAGAGTTTTAACTCAAGCAGGAAAACTGAGATCTGTGTCTATATGGGTGTCTGTGTATGTTATAGAGATATGTCTTTACCTCCAGATGCTATCAAAATTAATTTGTAAATGAGCTCTATGTAATTGGCTTAAAGGAAATTAAATGCTTATCTAAATTCTCAGAAATATAAAAGTAACTAACCCAAATGAATTTCAGGTTCACATGATCTGGGAAATATTCAGTATTAAATATCTGGTGTTAAAGTTTAAGCTTGTTGATGCCTGAAGACAGAGATGCCTTCAGAGGCATGAACTATAATTTTTATTGTATTTAGGAAAGTTAGTAAGATCTTATTAATCCTGTTACAGAATCGTCACAAGGAAAATAACTTGATACAATGGAACTTTTAAGTAAGTTAAATGTAAATAAGAAGAGTTCTGGGAGTTGAACTTTGGGAATAACTATGTTTTAGAAAATCTACTTAAAAATAGTCTCTCTAGATTTTGGCAATTTGAAACTTTAGAGTTTTGCTAAATTAATTGCTAAATGAGTCTAAGTTTACCCACTTTTGTCTTATGAGAGAAAACCTAAACACGTTTGGGTTTGGGTTTTTTAGACACACGTCTTATACCACATTGAGGAAAGAAATTATGCTATGAGAAGATGTATGTTTCTGGAGGCTGTAAAACATATTCATAAGTTTTCCAATCAGGAAACGGTGGTATGATCACAAATGCTTCTTTGTTTTTGCCAGAGATTACAGTTTCTAACGGTTAAAAGTTGTAATATATGTAAAGCTACTAAAATAAGGGAAACATTTCAGTATATAAGAAAAGTAGGATGTTTGTTTTCATTAAAAGAAGGTAAGAGGAGTGAAAATGCATTTTGTTAAGGGGAAAAGTAATTTGGTCCTAAAGCTGGTTATTTCTAAATAGGAAAGAAAATAAGGGACAAGCTAATATGGAAAAAAAGGTGTGACAGGTTAAAAAAAAGGAACCCGGAACCCCAAAGCATCTGAGAGAGACTAAACTAAGATTGCTCGGTATGTTTAATTACATGGGAAGCATTCTCAAATGAGTGTTAAGCCTCCTTAGGTTATACTGTATGGGTAAATGTTATTAATATATTCTAGAAATTATATGGAATTCTGAAAAATCTGGTGGTTGATAATATATCATAATTCTAGTTTTGTTAATTGAGGTCTATTTACTAAGACTCACCTCCCAGGTAGCTCATTATGTTACATAATTTATTTTATATTGGAGTATATAGTTGATTAACAAGGTTGTTAGTCTCAGGTGTACAGCAAAGTGATACAGTTATACATATACATGTATCTATTCTCATTTAAATTCTTTTCCCATTTAGGTTGTTACATAATATTGAGCAGAGTTCCCTGTGCTATGCAGTAGGTCCTTGTTGGTTATCCATTTTATATATAGTAGCGTGTACATGTTAATCCCAAACTCCTTAACTATCCCAGCTATGTTACATAATTGTCAAGTTTAATTGAATTATTAAAGGACACTCAAGTTTGTTTCTGAAGCTTATCACAGCAGTCTCTCTTTGGATAAAGATCATACATACTGGAAAAGGCATCATTGAAAGGACTGTCTCCAACCTAGATGGAAGGACTCTTACGAGGTACTACTTTTTAATTAAGCATCAATGATATTTTTTATTGAAGTATAGTTTACAGTGTTGTTTGGAGAGTACAGCAGAGTGATTCAGTTATGTATACGTATATGTATCTCTTCTTTTTCAGATTCTTATTGGCTCTTACAAGATATTGAGTATAGTTCCCTGGGCTATACAGTAGGTCCTTGTTTATTTTATATACCATAGTATGGGTATGTTAATCCCAGACTCCTAATTAAAGTTGGTCAGGCACAGTGAAGCTGAAGGGAATTGATACAAATTCATATGTGACAACTTCACTAGATAATCTTTTTTCTATCCTGAACACTGAGGGCAACACACCCTGCAACCCTCTCCTGCACACTGTCTTTACAAACCCTCCCCTAAAAGATGGGGTGGTGGCGCAGGGGGTTCAGGTCTTTTGAGCACAAGCTGCCCGTCCTCCTTGTTTGGCCCCAGGTTGGATGCCTTACAAACGCTGCACTTTCCTTCACCACAACCTGGCCTTGCACCCCAGTTTGGTTCGCTAACAATGGGCTGGGAGAGCTCGCCAGGTAGCCATGTCTTTTCTCACCTGTCAGACAGGTGGGACAGAGCCAGTTTGTAGAAACGCTCTCCTCTCTGCAGCCCCTTATACAGGCGAACCTTGAATTGCATGGGTCCACTCAAAGGTGGATTTTATTCAATAAATATATTCGAAATTTTTTGGAGATTCGCAACAATTTGAAAAAACTCAAACCACACAGCCTAGAAATATTAAAACGAGAGTCAGGTATGTCATGAATGCATGAAATACATGTAGGTACTAGTCTATCCGTACACAGGCATAAGGTGAGTGGTATTTGATATAAAATTAAGAATGTGTTAGTGCTCTTACTGTTTTAGATCTTTGCCTCTCTCGTAGTTGGACAGACGGTAGATTAGCCTATCACAGATAAATGTCTTTTTATGTAACAATGTTTCCAATACCGTGTTATGAATACGACTTATGTTATAAGCCATAAAAAACATACCAAGTCATTCATTACCGTATAGGCTAGGCCACTGTGAAGCACTCGTGTCAACCGCACCAGACTGCTGCTGACTGAAGAAAAACGCACAACCTTCAGTTTGTGGGGGCCTTACTGAAGACTATGTAGTCTGTCAGGCCTGAGAGGCTACGGAGGAGCCAGGGTACGTAGGAGTTTTTTGCTTGAAATAGGAAATGCTGAACAAAGATTCCTGCTAACCACAAAAACAGGCATCTCAGGTTAATGCTTTTAGTGCTTTTCTATGCATGAGAAGATGCAAGTCTGGGCTCAGTGAAAATATCCTTCAGGTGTGCGTATCAGGTGTGATCTTAACTGAGGCCAGTATCCAGAGCACAGAAGGTGGCCTGTTACCCTCCATTCATGGCCAGTTTGTCCCACGGTGCTGGGAAATCTCATTTCGTAGGTCAGATGAGGACTTGAGAGGCCAATGTAGTATTTTTGGATTAGGCCCTGTTGACTAAAATTCTCTGGATCACCGGTCTTAACTAATCTGTTATGATCCGGGAAGTGTTTTTCCTTGTTTCTTCTCATATCTAGAGTTGCACCATTCCAGTTATTCAGTATAGAGTCATATATGTGACTGACTGCCTCAAGATTTTAGCCCTCATTAATTTTGTCAAAGGCCTGGTTACACATTGGGTAATACAAGAGACAACGATCTTATAAAACAGACAGGATATCATACAGGTAGTAACATTAATAAAGTCATAAGCAGGGAATTAAGCCATGAGGTTCCAGAACCAAACCAGCTCCCTACAACCATCACCAAGACTAGGAAGTGAATCACTTAAGGCAGAAATCTGGTTTTTCATGTGGTCATTAAATGCATCCTAGTAGAGGATTTGTCTGGTATGAAAACACAGCATTCGGTTTGAATTATAGCACAGGTGCCTCCTTGAGATGCTATAAGGCTATTAAGGGCCATGTGATTCTGTAATACCACTTTTCTCATCATAGAGGCAGCCTCAATGATTAATCATTTAGGGGCTTTTGGGTGAATTCTGTTAAGGCTTTGATATGGGGAGGTACATCTTCCAATCCTACTTTGATATGGGGAGGTACATCTTCCAATCCTACTTTGATATGGGGAGGTACATCTTCCAATCCTACTAATAGCATAAAAATAGATGCTACATGATCATACCAGGGGAATACAGATCTCTTGGTAAATTTGCTGGAGTCATCTCTAAATTAGCACACAAGTGGCCTTGAGCCCTAGGGAATCCTAAAGTACATCTTCCCATCCATCCTGGAAGAAGCCAGGGATGTAGATTAGTGCCACAAAACCACTGAGTTCCATTAGGTGCAACCCAGCATACTCCTGGGTGCCTGACCCAGTCTGTTCCATATCAATCACTATCTTTAAGGGAAATGATGATACACTGACATTTTTCATTAAGGCACCCAGCCTAATTTTCTGGTGTTATTAGGCTGAATATCTTTAGTGTGATTTAATTGTTCCCAACATAGGGGGGCGCCTTAAGGGACCACAGCCTGGTATTAGCCATATAAACCTATCCCATAACTGAGGGGGGGGTCCCTCCTAATAGTCAGGAAGTTATCATTTTTGACTGAAATTTAGCTTGTTGCTCTGACTGAGCTTGAGTAACTTTAAGGGAAAACTCATTTATGGCCAAAGTCAAAGCAAGAATGTTTGACTGGCCAAGTGAGGGGTTCCCATAGGAGCATCAGTTGCAGCTCAGACAGAACTACTTTTTTCTAAAATTTTCTACAGGCCATCCAATCAGAGCCTTGGAGAGGAGAAACCCACTAACCAGAAGTAGTGGATGTAGGTAACTGACCACAAACCCAACAATTGCAATGACTTCTAAAATCTGCATAGGATCGTACCCATGACAGAAAAACATTTGATTCATGTGCATAAAGGCCAAGAAATCAAAAAATGTTATAAATAATCATACGGTCAGGTCCAGCACCTTGGGATAGCTGTCTCCTGATGTCGTCAACTTCTCGTCCTGGCGTTGGTGTTTCTTTCCTATCAGAGCATCGCTTTAAGGTGAGTTTGAGGTCAGCAGTCCTCTCTATAGACCAGACCAGTGCCTCTTTAGGTGGGAAATATGAATCCAAGAGTCAGTTACCTTCGATTTTGCTGTGCATGAGCTACTTAAAAGAACCTGATAGGGACTTTCCATCGAGGTTGGAGAGAGTCCTTTAAATGATGCCTTTTCCAGTATACAGAGTCTCCTGGTTGTAGGTCATAGGGCATCTGATCATCATTTAAAGAAAGCATACTGTGATAAGTTATGCTTTAACTTATACATTAACACTTATATGCATTAAGTGTTAATGCATTAACTTATGCATTAACACTTATAATGTCCTGTTAATTCAATCAAACCCTTGCAATAACGTAACCTATCCCTTTTCATTACTATAGGTTCATATAATCCCTCATCCAGTCTCACTGGTCTCCCCCTGATAATCTCAAAAGGAAACAAATGTTTTCCAAAACAGGTGGATCTGAGGTTGAGGAGAACCAATGGAAGGGCCTCAGGCCAGGTAAGGAATAAGCATTCATCATCTTAGCCAGTTGGGTTTTAATTGTTCCATTTGTTCTTTCTACTAACCCAGAGGACTGGTGGTGATAAGCATAATGGAAATGCTGCATAATTGGCCAAATCTTAACAATTTGTCCAGTGAAATGAGTTCCTCTGTCACTATGTGGTTCTGAGGGGACTCCCGAAATGGGCATCACTCTTGGTAAAATAAAATGTCCTACAGATTGGGCTGTGGCCCTTCAGCATGGGATGCCTCAACCCAGTGTGAAAACATACAAATCATAACAAGAACATACTGCTAACCTTGAGAGGGGGGCGTCGACCTTGAGAGGGGGGCGTCGTATAAAATCAGTCTGCCAAGTCGCAACGGGACCTGCAGGTCGTGGCAAATTCCCTTGAGAACTATGTAACGGCTTCCCTGGCTTATATTTTGGACAAGTGGTACATCTTGAATAATTCCCGAGCTCTCACAAAAGCCTTCCAACAGTTTTTTACCCCACAATACCGTCTACCTGGGTTCCAGTGTGTTAACTCGTGAATATATTGCAAAATAGGATACTGAGCTTCAAAGGGAAGGATAGGCCTCCCGTCTGCGTGTATCCACAGCCTTCGTGTGAGTTCAGGCTGCCTCCCTTGTGTGTCCAGGTGTCTGTTTTCTGGTGCCGTTCCTTGAAACTGGACCATGTCAGTAAGGTTGCTGGGAGGCTGAAAGGGAAAGGCAGTGGTTAGTTGCTTGTTTTCGTTTTGCAGAGCCTCAGTCTTGGCAACGTGATCAGCTAAAGAGTTTCCTTTTGCTTCAGCAGTGTCAGCCTTTGAATGATACCTTAATGGCAAGTGCACCTGGCAGCAGAATGGCATCCAACAAGCCTGCTACATGTTTACCATTTTTAATAGGCTGTCCTCGGGATGTTAGAAATCCTGTTGCCAAAGCATACCCAAGTCATGGTCCCCCCCAGAAGCATGGCGGCCGTCTGTGTAGGTATTCGCGGGCTTTCCTTTTGCCAACGGGCAGGCTCTCGGTGCTATTAGTTCAGCCTGTTGGACAGAAGCGACATGAGACAAGGGACCATTTTCTAGGACAGACACTGGAGGAACAATGGCATAGCCAGCCTGGCACCTCCCATGAGGTCCTCGCAGATACACACCACCCATGAGTAACAAAGTCAGGATTATCCATTGGGCTTTCTTGAAAATCAGTCCTGGGATAGAAAAGATAACGTCTGAGTCTTCTGGGAGCAAGGTAGCTGGATTAAGTTTGTCACACCTGTGGGGAGAGATTTGGTGAGAGCGAGACAATCTCATTAGAAGTTAATCGGCCTGAATAAGTGTGTGATGAGAGTTTAGTAAAGCTTCCGTGGCATGGGGCACAAAGACGGTGAGAGTGACTCAGGACGCAGCACAGCTGTTGCTGAGACAGCCCCGGGACAAGGGCGGGGGAAGCCCTTGTCTACTGCAGCTAGCTGCTGGCTGTATATCCTATCGGTGGGTAGTAACCGCCGTGTTGCTGGGTTAATACTCCGTGTGGCACCTTTGTTTTCATGTACAAAGAGAAAAAGGGGTAAATCATAAAAAGCTGGGTTCTTTTCAGTGTCTCCCTGGCTTCAGAATGTTTTATTTCCCAGAGGTTCAGCTTGGCCTTGTTTAAACAAGTTACATAATGGTTGGGCCACTAAAATAAAAACTTTGTAATCCAGTTCCTGCAATAGCCTGCAGGATCTAGAAACCCCTCGAATGCCCTTTTGTCCTAGGGGCAGGGAAAGCCAAAATGTCTTTCACCGTCAATTAAAGGTCCTTTAGATATCATTTGTCCTAAAGATTTCACATTAGCCTTACAAAATTGTAACTTTTCCTCACTTTGTCCCTTTCAGCTAGTTTTGAAGTACAGGCTGTCTTCCTATTTATCAAAGAATTTGAACACAATAGCAAATCACCTGCACATTGTATCAAAACTGATTTATGAGGAAAAGCTAGATCATCTAGGTACGTTTTTAATACCTGGGGAAAGTGAGTATTGCCCTGCCGCGTTACAGTCCACGTATGCTGCCGTTCATCCCAAGTAAAGGCAAAGGGTACTGGCCACCAGGATGCACAGGGATGCTAAACAGTGCACTGCAGAGGCCACAGAAAAGAAGTCACTGTTCTTAGAACACAGGACGGAAAGGCATGGGGGTTGGCACTACACAAATGGCAAGGAGTAATGATGGCACTGCTAGAGCTCAAACCCTACACAAACCTCCAGCCCTTGCCATTAGGTTTGCTAACTGGCAGAATGAGTGTGTTACAAGGGCCGGTGCAAGGCATGAAGCCTTTCTCAATGTAAGCTGGTGTCAGGTGTTATTCCCTCCGTGGCTTCCTGCCTCCATTTGGGTACTGCGGGTACTGACGCAGTTCTTCTCGTCTCAGGTCCTTTTAACGGGCGGTGTGGAATGTATTTCCATGTGTCAGTAACTCTTCAGGTACTAAGCCTAGCAAGTCTTCGTCAGCATCACCTTGACCATGGCTCACAAACATTGTATGATGAAGGAAATCAGCTCTAAAAACATCTCCCCCTTAGGAGTAAGGAAATATGGGCTTCGTAAGTTTCTAATAAATCTTCCTGTCAGGTGAATAGGGGTGCTTTCTACTAGAAAAGATGAGTGCCTTCCTTTAAGTTCTCCTAAGTAGAATGGTTTAAGAGCCTTAAGAGGTGCAGTAGAAATCCCTACCACCTACACTGAAGTATTACTTCATGGGAGGGAGCCTCTGGTTTTGGTTTAAAACTGAAAAGGTGGTCCCTGTATCTATTAGGGCTTTGTTTCTCTCTGTCTTGTCTCTCTACTTCTCCCAGGGTGTTACAGAAGAAAGACTCCCACTGTTCCCTCAGAGGAGCCCTATTCTTGTTTAACTCGGTATTCTGATCTGAAATCTAGTCTGTTCTTGAAATCTTTCATTTTTCTACATTCCTTCTTCTTTTTTTAAACACAGTAAAAGGAAATGCTAGGTTCCTCTGTCAGTCGAGGATTGAACGGGGGTTTGTTAACTGTAGCCTGACCTTGCTTACTTAATTGGCACAGTTGAAGGCTCACGATTTTTTTTTCATAAATTTATCTTTAGCTGCGTTGGGTCTTCATTGTAGTGCATCAGTGCGTGGGCTTTCTCTAGTTGCAGTGTGCAGGCTTCTCGTTGCAGAGCACGGGCTTCAGTAGTTGTGGCACACGGGCTCAGTAGTTGTGGCTTGCAGGCTCTAGAGCGCAGGCTCAGTAGTTGCTCCACAGCACGTGGGATCTTCCCGGACCAGGGCTTGAACCTGTATCCCCTGCATTGGCAGGCGGATTCTTAACTGCGGTGCCATCAGGGAAGTCCCAAAGGTTCACGATTTTTACAGACGTATCCTCTCCTTTGATGATTTTGAAAAGCTCATCAGCCAGCGTGGTAAGGGCATTTGTATGTAACGCTGACCAACCTAAGTTGTGTTTTTTAATTACAGCAGCCAATTCCTCATTTATACCTTCTGAAATGGACTTAAGCAAAGGATCATTTTGGTGGTTAGAGAACATTCAGATGTTATGCCAGAATATTGTTTAAAAGTTCTCACACATCATAATCTAGGATTTTATCTTGTTTTTGTTTGCACTGCTGAATTTTTGTCTAGGCTATGGCTTTTGGGAAAAACTCTGGGATAAATGAGTAATTTATGAGCTAATTCCTTGCATTCAACTTGAAAATCGAAGTTTGTTAAGGGCTGTTTCCATTCTGCTTTCTCTATCCATTGCCTTGCTTTACTTTCAGAAAGGAATAGCTGTATTACTGGATACATATCTGCAAACCCAGACTCACGGGTTTGGATGGCTAACTCAGATTCCCTGCATATCCCAATGGGCCATGACTAGGGTCAGGAAACCCCTTAGCTAAAGCCCTAAGTCTTGCTCGAGTCTAGGGTGTGTATGTAAGCACAGAGGACAGTTCCCCTCTTCCTGTGAAAGGTTTCTCCTTAAAGGGGGACAGAAGTACTTCTGATTTAATGTCCTCCTTTGCTGGCGGGAGAGGAAGCAGCAAGGGGCAGAGGTGATGGAAAAGAGAAGGGAACAGCATCTGGGTCAGGGGGTTCAGATAAAAGAGGAAATGAGAGGGAGCAGAGGGAGAGGCAGGGGTAATACTGGCAGCTTTCAGAAATGTTGATAAAGTTAAGTTTTGGTTGATTTCCTGCAAAAGCTTATCATTTTGTCTTTTAGAAGCTTCTAAATATCCATAAGCATTCCACTCCATCTGATCTTATGAACTGCTTTCGCTAGCTGCATACACAAGAAAATTTTGGAATGTCAGAAGAACCCAAATATGGCCATTTTAGGTTGTGATCTCCTCCTTTAGTGTGGTTTCTCCAATCAAGTGAGTATTTGCAGGTATAAATTCCATACGTATTGTACATGAACCTGGCCTGGGTGTTAGTTGGAGGCTAGCAATCTGTCCTTTTTGTTTTGAAAGCTTTGTTTCCCATTCCAAGGTCGATCTGTTGAGATAAGAATCATTACTGATGATCCCGTGGTGGGCCAGTGTGCTGGTTGTGAGCCTGATTCCTCGGGATTTTAGCCCAGAGCCATTGCAGCGCTCTTACAGGTGCTACTTTCTGTAGCCTAAGACCACAGTGGGTGCTTGCAGCACCGAGTGGCCGGCTCTTATGTGTGCCCCCAGCTGAGATGAGTGGGTTTCCCTCTACAGATGGCAGCCCAGTATGAGGACTTACCTCCACCACTCCCACAAGTTTCCCAGTTGCCTGAGAAAGCCAGTGCTGTCAGGAAGGAGATGGCTCATAAGGGCTTTCAGCTCCAAAGAAGGGACATCTTCATTTTTATTCCAATAATCTGTTAAAGTAGCCAAATAAAGGAAAAATGACATGTCAGTCTCCCACCTAATTTCCCAGTCCAACCAAACTCAATGTCTTTCAACTGAGTAAAATCTCCCCAACATCTCTCAACTGGGATAACCCAGGTACTTCTTCTTGAAATTAAATTCAGGGAAAACCTCCTCCTCCAGTGAGGGATTTATCCACCACCCAATACAATAGGATCAGCCAGTAACAGGAGATCTGAGACCAGGGGGGCTCACCAAGGAGACAGCTGGGCACAAGAGGCCTCTGCTGGCCAGTCCCTGCAGGGCTCAGGCAGAGGAGAAGCCTGCTCCAAGTTCCCTTCAGGTCACCAAAGCCGCTGACTGAAGGAAAACACACAACCCAAAAGCTGCAAGTTAAAGTTTTAAGCCCAGGAGACAGCCTCTCAGGAGGTAAGGGAGGTGCCAAGATGCATCGAGTTTTTGCTGGAAGACAAGAATTTAGTCAAAGATTACTGCTTATCACACACACCAAAGCCCCAGACAGTTCAGGTTAATAATTTTAGTGCTTTTGTATGTATGGGAAGATGAAGAATCTGGCCTCACTGAAATTACTCTTTAGATGTGCACTTGAACGATCTAGGGCTGGTACCCAGAGCACAGAATGTTTCCTGGATCCCCGCAGGGCACGCCCTCAGGGCAGCTGCAGCGGCTGGTGGCTTGATTGTGCCCAGTATCTTTGTTTACTGGAATGGCAGGTGACACTCCCTGTCCACACTACATACATCATATTGCTGCTGCTTCGTTATCAATGCCTGAACCATTATTCCTGTAAATAAAAATGAATTTTCATTGTTTTTGATGTCTAGTGTTAGTAATATATGGAACCTCTGCAGTGTTTTATATCATAATATTGACATACTGACAGATGACTCATCTTGTAAACGTACATCATTGATAAATGCAGTATTATAAGTATTCCTTATGACGTTAACGTTTTCTCTAGCTTACTTCTCTGTGACAATGCAGTGAATACACACATAGAAAATATGTTCATTGACTACATTACCGGTAAGGCTTCTGGTCAATAGTAATAGTAGTTGAGTTTAGGGGAGTCAAAAGTTACACGCAGGAGAGAGAGTTCCCAAGATGGCAGAGGGGAGACCCTGAGCTCGCCTGCTCTCAAGGGCAAACCAGAATTACAGTGTGCGAAGAATCTATTGTTGACAAAGACTCGAACCTACCAGAAAAGATCTGCAAGTGATAAAGAAGGAAGCACAAGCTGGGTAGGAGGGGCCGAGTCACAGCACCGTCGAGACCCCCAGAGGAGGGAGAACAAGGTGGCAGCAGAGGGCATGGAGCTCGCCCCCTCCCACAGACATCAAATGCATCTACACGTGGAGCAGTTCTCAGGGGAACTACGTGGAAACTGGCAGAGCTGCTGTACAACCAAGGCTGCAGGAAGATACGTAACCAGCGAGGACAGGAAGAAAAGCATTGGTTCAGGACCCCTGCCCCTGGGAGGGTACTAGGAAGAGGGAGATTGTGCCCCTGGGGCCCTGTGTAGTGGACACAAGCCTCCCTTGGCTGGTTGGAGAACTGCTGCAACAGGTATGAAGGCTGGAGAAGCCTAGGCTCCGTTCATGAGGAGTGCATAGGTGCTGGCTCGCCACTGGACAGGCTGGAGAGAGGTCTGACCTAGTGGCTCCCAGCCTGCCAGGCTCCCCAGTCCGCCAGGCTCCCCAGTCCGAGTGAGGAGACACGCCATGCACTCCATGCCACACCTCAGCAGTGTTTCTAGGGCAGCCAGGCCCTGGGAGGAGACTCAATCGAGGGCCACAGGGGTGGCCTAGAGGCCCCAGGTGAGGTCCAGAGGGGGTGGTGGCAGCCACTGTCGGTGCACCACACAGGCAGCCCAGACCCTCTAACAACAGTGGGGCTGCTGGAACCCCTGCAGCACACCACGATCCCCCACTCCCAGCTGAGCTAATCTGCTCACCCACCCACTCCACAGCCTTGCACTAGGTCTCGGACAGCCACAACGGGAAAGACGCGACACTGGGCTGCATCCAAGCAGAAGGGCAGACACCAGCACAGACCTCTGTGAGCACATGAGCCCCACTTGCTCCAGCAATCCCCTCCTTCGGAGCAACGGCCCCAATGCAGAAAGAAGGAAAAAAACACTTCAAGGAACAGAGCCATCCACTCCCTTCGAGATCACAGCAGGTAACTGTTTCACCTAAATTCATAGACACAGAAATTTAAGAAAAATGACAAGGCAGGGGAACTACTCTCAACTGAAAGAGAGCAAAGCCCTGAAAAAATAATGAAACAAAGGTAATGAGTCTACCAGACAATGAATTAAAAATGCTAACTGAATTAAGAATTGATCTAAGCACAGATTATTTTAATAAGGAACTAGAAGCTATAAAGACAGCCTAATCAAAAAGATAATTTAAAAAAACAGGTAATTAAATCTGAGATTAAAAAGCACTCTAGAAGCAATGAATAGCAGACTGAATGACACAGAACAACACATAAGTGAACTGAGAGATAGAATAGAAATCACCCAATCAGAACAGCAGACAGAAAGACACATGAAAAAAAGAAAGCTACATACAGGATCTATGGGATAATATAAAATTGTGTCAGCATTTCCATAATAGGGATTCTCCACAAGGAGAAGGAAGGGGATCAAATGTATTTTGAAGAAATTATGGCTGAAAACTTCCCAAACCTAAAAAAGGAAACAGATACCCAAGTACAGGAAGCATAGAGGGTCCCAAACAACATGAACACAAAGAGAGTCACACTGAGACATACCACGATTAAAACAGCAAAAGTTATAGAGGATTCTAAAGGCAACAACAGGAAAACAGAGTTATATACAAGGGAATCCCCGTAACGCTATCAGCTGATTCCCCTGTGGAAAGTTTGCAGGCCTAAAGGCGGCAGCATATATACAGAGTTCTCAAAGGGAAAACCCTGCCACCTCAGATACTGCACCCAGTAAGATCATCATATGAGACAGAAGGATAAAGAATTTCTCAGGCAGTCAAAACCCAAAAGAATTCAGTAATACTAAAACTATTCTAGAAGTGTTGAAGGGTCTTTTTGAAACAGAGAAGTAGCAGGAATCTGTAGGAAAGGGAAAAGCCCAATAGGAAAGGCAAATATATACTAAGGATTTAAGATCACTGAAACCAGTATGTAGACTGAAACACAAAACAAGACTGTAAAAGCAATTATAACTAACAGTAAAGGGATGAACATGAAGATGTAAACTATAACATCAAATATACACTGTACGAGGGGAGTAAACAAAAAAATATTTTAGGACATGTCAACTTAAATGACTATCAGTTTAAAGCAAGTTCATATAATTAAGGGTCAACATATGAGCCCCATGGTAACCACAAATCAAAGACCTACCACAGACACACAAAAACCAAAAAGAAAGGAAACCAAGCATACTACCGAAGACAAATCAAACCACAACATGAGAAACAAGAAACAGAGAAGAACTATAAGAAGTGGGAAACAGAATACAAATAGCAATAGGTGTGTACTTACCATTAATGACTTTAAATGTCAGTGGTCTAAATGCTCCAATCAGCAGACACGGGGTGGATTTTTCAAAGTGTGCATTCTTCTCTGCGTTGGAACTCCTCCACAACTGACTGTCCCTAAGGGGCTGATGGGCTGCCCGGGCCTGGGAGGAAAGGATCCAAACCTTCCAAAAGGTGAGCTCTGCATTGGCCACAAATGTTAAAGGTCTGATTTCCTCTCCTACAAGTGTGAGGACATAAATCAGTTTCTGGGCTGGAGAAAACTTTAGATAAACTAGAGGCAAAAAGGGGATAAAGCTCTCCAGCCTCTTCAACTTGGTTGCTGCTGCTGCAGCCTCTCCTAGGATTCCCACCAAAATCACAACTGCTGAACAAGCACTGACAAAAAAAAAAAAAAATGGAACTGAGATTGCTTCAAGATGGCAGAGTACAAGGACGTTCTGCACCAGAATCACAACTAACTGCCGAACAGTCATCCACAGGGAGACACTGGGACTCACCAAAAAAGACACCCCACATGCAAAGACAAAGGAGAAGCCACGATGAGACAGGAGGAGGGGTGCAATCACAATCAAATCAAACCCCATAACTGCTGGGTGGGTGACTCACAAACGAGAACACTTATACCACAGAAGTCCACCCACTGGAGTGAAGGTTCTGAGCCCCACGTCAGGCTTCCCCACCTGGGGGTCCGGCAATGGGAGGAGGAATTCCTAGAGAATCAGAACTTGAAGGCTAGTGAGATTTGATTGCAGGACTTCAACAGGACTGGGGGAAAGAGAGACTCCACTCTTGGAGGACACACACAATGTACTGTGCACATTGGGACCCAGGGGAAGGAGCAGTGACCCCATAGGAGACTGAGCCAGACCTACCTGCTAGTGTTGGAGGGTCTCCTACAGAGGCAGGGGGTGGCTCTGTTTCACCGTGGGGACAAGGACACTGGCAACAGAAGTTCTGGGAAGTACTCCTTGGTGTGAGCCCTCCCAGAGTCCACCATCAGCTCCACCAAAGAGCCCAGGTACACTCCAGTGTTGGGTCGCCTCAGGCCAAACAACCAACAGGGAGGAAACCCAGCCCCACCCATCAGCAGACAAGCAGATTAAAGTTTTACTGAGCTCTGCCCACCAGAGCAACACCCAGCTCTACCCACCACCAGTCCCTCCCATCAGGAAACTTGCACAAGCCTCTTAGATAGCCTCATCCACCAGAGGGCAGACAGCAGAAGCAAGAAGAACTACAATCCTGCAGCCTGTGGGAAAAAAACCACATTCACAGAAAGATAGACAAGATGAAAAGGCAGAGGGCTGTGTACCAGATGAAGGAACAAAATAAAACCCCAGAAAAACAACTAAATGAAGTAAAGATAAGCAACCTTCCAGAAAAAGAATTCAGAATAATGATAGTGAAGATGATCCAGGACCTCGGAAAAAGAATGGAGGCAAAGATTGAGAAGATGTAAGAAATGTTTAAAAAAGACCTAGAAGAATTAAAAACCAAAGAAACAGAGATGAACAATACAATAACTGAAATGAAAAATACACTAGAAGGAATCAATAGCAGAATAAATGAGGCAGAAGAACGGATAAGTGACCTGGAGGACAGAATGGTGGAATTCACTGGTGCGGAACAGAATAAAGAAAAAAGAATGAAAAGAAATGAAGACAGCCTAAGAGACCTCTGGAACAGCATTAAATCCAACAACATTCGCTTTATAGGGGTCCCAGAAGGAGAAGAGAGAAAGGACCTGAGAAAATATTTGAAGAGATTATAGTTGAAAACTTCCCTACCATGGGAAAGGAAATAGCCACCCAAGTCCAGGAAGTGCAGAGTCCCATACAGGATAAATCCAAGGAGAAACATGCTGAGAGACACATAGTAATCAAATTGGCAAAAATTAAAGACAAAGAAAAATTACTGAAAGCAGCAAGGGAAAAAGGACAAACAACATACAAGGGAACTCCCATAAGGTTAATAGCTGATTTCTCAGCAGAAACTCTACAGGCCAGAAGGGAGTGGCATGACACATTTAAAGTGATGAAAGAGAAGAACCTACAACCAAGGTAACTCTACCCAGCAAGGATCTCATTCAGATTTGATGGGGAAATCAAAAGCTTTACAGACAAGCAAAAGCTAAGAGAATTCAGCACCACCAAACCAGCTCTACAACAAATGGTAAAGGAACTTCTCTAAATGGGAAACACAAGAGAAGAAAAGGACCTACAAAAACAAACCAAAAACAATTAAGAAAATGGTAACAGGAACATACATATTGATAATTACCTTAAACGTGAATGGATTAAATGCTCCAACCAAAAGACACAGGCTTGCTGAATAGATACAAAAACAAGATCCATATATATGCTCTCTACAAGAGACCCACTTCAGACCTAGGGACACATACAGACTCAAAGTGAGGGGAAGGAAAAAGATATTCCATGCAAATGGAAATCAAAAGAAAGCTGGAGTAGCAATACTTAGATAAAATAGACTTTAAAATAAAGAATGTTAAAAGAGATAAGGAAGGACACTACATAATGATCAAGGGATCGATCCAAGAAGAAGATATAACAATTATAAATATATATGCACCCAACACAAGAGCACCTCAATACATAAGGCAACTGCTAACAGCTCTAAAAGAGGAAATCGACAGTAACACAAACATAGTGGGGGACTTTAACACCTCACTTACACCAACGGACAGATCATCCAAACAGAAAATTAATAAGGAAACACAAGCTTTAAATGACACAATAGACGAGATAGATTTAACTGATATTTATAGGACATTCCATCCAAAAACAGCAGATTACACTTTCTTCTCAAGTGCATGGAACGTTCTCCAGGACAGATCACAGCTTGGGTCACAAATCAAGCCTCAGTAAATTTAAGAAAATTGAAGTCATATCAAGCATCTTTTCTGACCACAACACTATGAGATGAGAAATCAATTACAGGGAAAAAAACATAAAACACACAGACACATGGAGGGTAAATAATACGTTACTAAATAACCAAGAGATCACTGAAGAAATCAAAGAGGAAATCAAAAAATACCTAGAGACAAATGACAATGAAAACACAATGATCCAAAACCTATGGGATGCAGGACTTCCCTGGTGGCGCAGTGGTTGAGAGTCCGCCTGCCAATGCAGGGCACACAGGTTCGTGCCCCGGTCCGGGAAGATCCCACATGCCACGGAGTGGCTAGTCCCGTGAGCCATGGCCACTGAACCTGTGTGTCTGGAGCCTGTGCTCCGCAACGGGAGAGGCCACAACAGCCAGAGGCCCGCATACCGCAAAAAAAAAACCTATGGGATGCAGCAAAAGCAGTTCTAAGAGGGAAGTTTATAGCAATACAAGCCTACCTCAAGAAACAAGAAAAATCAAACAATCTAACCTTACACCTCAAGGAACTAGAGAAAGAAGAACAAACAAAACCCAAAGTTAGCAGAAGGAAAGGAATCATAAAGATCACAGCAGAAATAAATGAAATAGAAACAAAGAAAACAATAGCAAAGATCAATACAACTAAAATCTGGTTCTTTGAGAAGATAAACAAAACTGATAAACCATTAGCCAGACTCATCAAAAGGGAGTGGACTCAATAAAATTAGAAATGAAAAAAGAGAAGTTACAGCAGAAATACAGAGCATCCTGAGAGACTACTACAAGCAACTCTATGCCAAAAAAATGGACAACCTGCAAGAAATAGACATTCTTAGAAAGGTATAACCTTCCAAGACTAAACCAGGAAGAAATAGAAAATATGAACAGACCAACCACAAATAATGAAATTGAAACTGTGATTAAAAATCTTCCAGCAAACAAAAGTTCAGGACCAAATGGCTTCACAGGTGAATTCTATCAAACATTTAGAGAAGAGCTAACACCCATCTTTCTCAAACTCTTCCAAAAAACTACAGAGGAAGGAACAGTCCCAAACTCATTCTATGAGGCCACCATCACCCTGATGCCAAAACCAGACAAAGATACTACAAAAAAAAATTACAGACCAATATCACTGATGAATATAGATGCAAAAATCCTCAACAAAATACTAGCAAACAAAATCCAACAACACATTAAAAGGATCATACACCAGGATCAAGTGGGATTTATCCCAGGGATGCAAGGTTCTTCAATACATGCAAATCAATCAATGTGATACACCATGTTAACAAATTGAAGCATAAAAACCATATGATGATCTCAATAGATGCAGAAAAAGCTTTTGACAAAATTCAACACCCATTTATGATAAAAACTCTCCAGAAAGTGGGCACAGAGGGAACCTACCTCAACATAATAAAGGCCATATATGACAAACCCACAGCAAACATCATTCTCAATGGTGAAAAACTGAAACCATTTCCTCTACGATCTGGAACGAGACAAGGATGTCCACTCTCACCACTATTATTCAACAGTTTTGGAAGTCCTAACCACAGCAGAGAAGAAATAAAAGGAATCCAAATTGGAAAAGAAGAAGTAAAACTGTCACTGTTTGCTGATGACATGATACACAGAGAATCCTAAAGATGCCACCAGAAAACTTCTAGAGCTAATCAATGAATTTGGTGAAGCTGCAGGATACAGAATTAACGCACAGAAATCTCTTGCATTCCTATACATTAATGATGAAAAATCTGAAAGAGAAATTAAGGAAACACTCCCATTTACCACTGCAACAAAGAGAATAAAATACCTAGAAATAAACCTACCTAGGGAGACAAAAGACCTATATGCAGAAAATATAAGACACTGATGAAAGAAATTCAAGATGATACAGAGATATACCATGTTCTTGGACTGGAACAATAAATACTGTGAAAATGACTATACTACCCAAAGCAATCTACAGATTCAATGCAATCAAATTAATCAAATTGCCAATGGCATTTTTTACAGAACTAGAACAAAAAAATCTTAATATTTGTATGGATACACAAAAGACCCCTAATAGCCAAAACAGTCTTGAGGGGAAAAAACAGAGCTGGAGGAATCAGACTCCTGACTTCAGACTATACTACAAAGCTACAGTAATCAAGACAATATGGTACTGGCACAAAAACAGAAATATAGATCAATGGAACAGGATAGAAAACCGAGAGATAAACCCACACACCTATGGTCAACTAATCTATGACAAAGGAGGCATGGATATACAATGGAGAAAAGACAGTGTCTTCAATAAGTGGTGGTGGGAAAACTGGCCAGCTACATGTAGAAGAATGAATTTGAACACTCCCTAACACCATACACAAAAATAAACTCAAAATGGATTAGAGACCTAAAGACCGGACACTATAAAACTCTTAGAGGAAAACACAGGAAGAACAACCTTTGACATAAATTACAGCAAGATCTTTTTCTATCCACCTCCTAGAGTAATGGAAATAAAAACAAAAGTAAATAAATGGGACCTAATTAAACTTAAAAGCTTTTGCACAGGAAACCATAAACAAAACCAAAAGACAACCCTCAGAATGGGAGAAAGTATTTGCA